AGTAAATGTGTTCCTTATTATGTTTATTATTATATCTTATTCTGCTCAAAGATGTAAAATTCTCACCCAACAAAACAAATCCACACATAAAATCTAAAGAATCCAATTAAATCAACAATGTTATTTTGACCAAAATCAAAAGAGATTTTAAAGAATTTATACATGTATCAACTGTGTTCCAGTTTACATTAAGAAAAAAAAAGGAAGTACATGTTAACTTACTCTTTCAACTGGTTCTATACAGAAGTCATTAATATGATACCACTGTGTACAAGGTACTCTTTCTTTACGCATGTGATATGGTTCACCCACTTTAATATGGCTGACCAGATTACCACCTGTTGTTTCATCTTTTATAAGAGAAACAATTGCTAGTAATTCATAATATTTGGTAAAATGATCAATTTTCTTTGGCAAAGTTTCCTGAAAAATGTTAATATAGAGAGTACAAATTGTTTAAAATTTTGATAAAATGAAATCTGTACATCTAAACTGGTCCTATAGTAAATCTTACTCAATCTTTATGTAATATGATAAGGGGAATATATATGCATGCATATGAATTTTCATTTTAAAAGCAGGTTTAATAATACATTGCCTGTCTGACAATATCCATAACAGTATCCCCCCCCCCCCCCCCCCCCCGAGCTGCTACCAACACCTCAGTCTAGTTTCATGGAAGTCTTGCACATGTTGACATGAACGTAAAAGAACCTCTTGACAGTTGGATTTCGATATTAGAGTAGGCCATAGTGCTGCTGGCCGATCAAATTTTCCAAAATAGCACAATGTACAGTCTATCCCCCTGCAGAAAAGTAGGACGTTAAACCTCATTTCATTTCATTTCTGTAAACACATAACACACTAGAGTGTCAATTTCTTAGAAGGGCCGTGTCAGAAGTCATGCACATACGTTTATATAACAACAATAGTACAGGGGACATTACTGAATACATGGTAAATATAACAATGTTTTTTATTGTCATTACAATACAGGTGAAATTTTTTATCTAAATTAGAAAATAAAATAATTACCTCATCTGTTATTTGTGTAATATCCAACTTCGAATTCTCTAGTTTTATTTTTAAACCCAATGGTATCCAGCTGACTTGATTCTCTTCTTGTTCTAACTGATCTAACCATTCCTCCATTGGATCACTTAATAAATAAATAATAACAGACTTTGATTAAAATAAATAGATCTTAAAGCAATTCTTTTTTAATACTTAGTTTCAAACGTTAAAATTTAAAATCACTAGCAAAAATAAATTTGTTAATTTCACAGGATTTTATATGTTGATACTTCCTGTTGGATGAAAATCTGTCTTCATTGAAAATTTACATCCAGTGTAACTGATTTTATACCAATAATTTTACAACCAGTGAAATCAATTTTACACCGACAATTTTATGTTCAGTATTGAGATATAACCGATTTTATACCAACAATTTTATGTTCAGTGTTGAGATATAACCGATTTTATACCAACAATTTTATGTTCAGTGTTGAGATATAACCGATTTTATACCAACAATTTTATGTTCAGTGTTGAGATATATTGTGAACACACTAAGCCACAAATTTGAAGTCCAGTGTAGAGATATAACTGATTTTGTGCCCCACTGTAAACATAGTAAACCAAAAATAGATCTAATATTAGTAAACCAGGCAAAAGGAACTTCAGCTGTTTTTATTTTAGATATAATGTATAAACTTACTCTGTTTCAGGATGTCTAAATTTACAATCTTTACGGAAACAAGCTCTTCCATATCGACATCTTGTTTTATTGACCGTTGCTCTAACCGGTTCATGGGGAACTCCTTCTTTCTCACCATCTTGTTCGGGACTCAACAGCTAAAACAAAACAGAGAGCAAAAAATGGGGTCAAATGTCCATTCAACACAAGTGGATAATTTCATGAATAACATACTTTACATCTTTATTTCATTAAATATGCATGGACACGGCACATCCGTGACAGGGGAAAAACACAGAGAACATAGAACAAAGTTAGACAGACAACATACAGTCATGGTATCAAAAGATTATTCAGCCATCTACTATGGTAGTTTATCAAAACTCGCAAATATGATAGTAAGTATACATAGACAATTCAGTGACTCAATTCTTGCTACTGACATCACAAGACATAGATCACTTTGAGTTCAAAGACGTCTTTGAGGAACAGATGAATTCAGTGACACACATCATTTTGGGACCAAAGATGTCTTTGAGGAACGGATGAAACAAGGCTTGATGACATTTTATATTGCAATCACTCAGTGTGGTGTCAATGATTGCAAATATTTAGACTAGAATCTGACGGTGTTGGTCTGAACGAATGAATACAAAGTTGAGGATGAGTACAGACAGATCCATGCTAGGAGAATGAGAGAGCTGGATGATAGAAATTACTTGAGGCAGGATCAGATACCAAATTCTGGGATATACCAGTACAATGCACACACATGTAGTTCTATACAGGACAAGAAGTTTATAATTGATATGATAAGAGTTTCATCACCTCTTTCTGTATGTAATTATGTTAAACATAAATTTAAATACCTTAATTTGTGTTTTCCAGAACTGAAAATCTCTTTTATTTTCCATCTGACAATTTAAAGCAATCACGTCAGGTACATTTTGTAGAACTTTCTTCTGAGTCTGTATAAAGAAAAATTCAACACAAATACAAGTCTCAAACAGTTTCTTTTGTCTAATCACACATTCAAATCTTTGGATATGTATTTGAATTTTGGCTGGTACATCTGATTTCTCAGTGGAGGAGAAAACGACACATACGTTGCATTTCCCATAAAGGTGTTATTGAATGCATGTCTTCATAGGTTTTTTTTGCTGATCATTAGAAATACCATTTGGAGATCAAATGAGTGAAATATACTTTTAATAGTATAGATAAATTGGACTAGATACAGATTTACATCTTTATAATAGGAAACGACACGTATAACTTCACAAAGTTAAATTGTTTTTAATAAATACATACATGTGGTTGATATTTATGACATTCATTACACCATGCCTGCATTACATTCTCTGACATCCAGCTATATTTCAACACATCAGACATAGTGTAAGATTTGGGAGGATCATTTGGACCTGAAATTAAATGTTTGAAAAAAAAAAAATATCATACGATTCCTAATGATTGTTCAGACGTCAATTACCCAAAAGGGTGTTACATAACTGTATGTAAACAGTATTATATAGTTGCGCTATCCGGAAATGAGAACTACGCCATCAACTATTCAAAAGTTCTGCTTTAAATGTACATGTGATATGTAACCGTGATAACTAACTAACCATGACTACAAATGAATGAGAAAGTGAAAGAATACAAATTGAAGAACACACAAATTTGAAGACCATTCATGGTTTATTTGTATAAATAAACAACTTTAAGCTATTTTTTTAAAATTAAACCATGACAATAAAATGGAAATCATATTTGTATCGGCGCCATGGTGGCTCAGTGAGTAAGACGTTGGCTCGCTAACATGGAGGTCCCCATGTTCGATCCCTGCACTGGTCGAGAAAGTTCATGGAGATTTTCTGGCGTTGTTCTCACTTGTCAGTGGTGCAGAACGGAGGGAGTGGCACAGCATATAGTTGTTTGGATGAGACAAAAACCTGAGGTCCAGTGTACACATTGGCATGCACGTAAAAGAACCCTTGCCCATTGGAATTTGATATAAGAGTAGGCTGTAGCGCCGCTGTCCAGACAAAATTTCCCTCATAGCAATCTGTATGGCGTATGTCCGTCTTCATTAGCCCAGTTGAAACAGAACAGTAGGACGTTGAACCCCATTTCATTTCATTTCATGTCTGTATCAGATGTCGGTAGAAAATATAATCATGATCCATATTTACCTGCCGGAGTAATATCTGGATATGATAAATTAGTCAAAGTTGTATTAACATCTCTACTGGTCTCCACACCACATCTACATGTCAATATAGTCCGAGTGACCATACCAAATAGTTCCGTTATAATCGATTTCTCTTCTACTTTTCTGTAAGAACATATTAAAAACAATAAAGTTTATTTTTGCAAAACTTAAGATGAATTTTCTATATGAAAAAACACCATAAAATAAAATGAATCAATTTGTATACCATATATATTAAGTTAACACTGACAACTAAGACTGAAATGTGAAAATGGGAGTCCCAATATTTAACAAAATAACCCACTGCAATGACAGATGTAACTTGAGGCTTTGGTAATGGCAGTAGTGAAATCAGGACTATTTTATGGTGGTGTATTTTCAAAGCAAGTAAGTATATTAGTTTTTCTTAAAGAAAAGGTGTTCTTTGTGAATAATTAATGAAATCTTGTTACAATAGATCCTATACAACCACATTAAAAGTGAGCATATAAAAATGATTGTGACTTACTTAGGTTGGGTATTTTCTTCAGCTGTCTCACTACCAACACTTTCTTCACTTGTTTTACTCCTAAAATATACAAAATACACAAAATGATTTCAGACCAGAATAACAACATCAGCTAATCTTTGCTTGATAAAGACAAGAGAACCTTCGTCGAAACGTCACCAGAAATAAACTTCTAAGTAACTTGTATCACTATAATTTGCATTAGGTATCATGTAGTCGAGCTGTTTTAGCAGGAGTTGTAGAGTATTCCATACTTGGATTCAATCAAATTAAAAAAAGAGGCCAATCAAAATGATGAAAAAAAAATTTCAATCCATCATATCTTTGTGAATACTCAACATAATTTAACCATTTAGATATTCCTTTTGGAAACACATCTTCCACAATATTGTATTTTGTAATTGTTAAAAAGTATATCCCTCAGATGGCATCGCGAGTTATTTATGGTCTTGTCATGTTAATAAATGTCTAATTAATGGTTTATATAACATTTAAGGGCCTAAAGAAAGACCTTCAATAGGCAGATTTAGCTCTTACATAATGTATGTTTAATTCATTTCATTAAATAAAACAATATCTTACGTAGCTGTAGCGGTTTCATCACCATTGCTTTCAGCAGCATCACTCTCTTCTTTCTCCTTTTCTTTTAATTCTTCTTTTTTCTTTCCCTTTTTTCTCTTTTTTCTAGATTTACTACTGCCAGCTGGCTTTTCTTCTTTTTTTTCAACTTGGGGTGGTGAATGGGCCTGAGTCTGAGCTTGTGGCTGCTGTTCTTCTTCAGGCATTATTGGCTCTTCCTTGTAACAAGTTTCCTGAAAAACAATGTCACCAATCATTAAACAATTAAAATATGTGACAAAAACATTTTTACTACTGATCGTCAAAGAATTCTACCTGCCATTTACTAGAAAGAGTTCTTTAAATGCTAAAATCACCATACGTTAATCCAATTCTTCAACTAGATTTTTATGCCTTACGGAAATGTTCGCCATGATATTTTCTGTTACTGGGTAATCTGGCAAAATTTAATCCTCATATAATCAACTGGTGGATTAATGATATGACTTCCATCAGATGCTTAAAACCAATAGCTTATGGACACCTAGTATTAAATTTGGAGATTTTATGTTATGGAGACTGTATATAAAGACATTACAGCACAAGATGAGACCTTTGGCAAAAAACTTAATATAAGTGGCTGATATATATTTCTAATAATGCCAGTATTTATAATTTCTAATAATGCTGGTATTTAGAATTTCTAATAATGCCAGTAGTTATTATTTCTAATAATGCCAGTACAGTACTTATAATTTTATAGTTTTAAGTCAAAAGTACTTTTTATAAAAGCAAGTCAATATTCACACTTTAAGAGCTATCTCCCTGCCCCAGCAATATGTTTTGTGTTATATTCATTTTTCATACATAATTGTTCGTAGATGATCCTTACTGAATGTATTTGTTGATGGACAAATCTCTGCCAACTCTGTATTAATCTTGATAGATTAGCACGACCAGCTGACTCATCTGCTTCACTTAAAACAAGACCCAGTGCTGCTACTTCTGGTATCGTACGGAAAGCACGAAGAAAATTACTTGCCTGTAATCAAACACCAAAACTAAATGATATATGTCGGTTTATTACATTTAGAGGTTACCTTTGTGTTTATGTGTAGTAAAAATTTATTAATGATGTACAACAAAATTCTTTAAAGCCAAGGTTTAAAATAGAGAGAGAGAAATGGGGTTTAATGTCTACTTGACACAGACTAGGTCATTTCAGAACTAACATATGGTTCAATTTTATTTTAATAATTCACTTGCGAGTAGTCTTTAGCAGTGGGAGGAAACTGGAGGACCCAGAGAAAACCCACATGGTTGGACAGGTGACCCTACTCCTTGTCAAGTACAACTAGGGAATCGTAACCACGTCAGTTGACTCAATGACAGACCCTATGATACAAGGCACACACGCCAACCATTCGGTCATCCAACCCCCCAGGTTTACAATAACAGACGAATGCACACCCCACTAGCCGCTTTCTGAACATGTTCCTGAAACAACGACTGCGAGTTTCACAACATCTGACCGTTGCTTGTTTACTTCACAATTCCCGAACTTATAGCTATGTTATCTACAGACTCGTGAGCAGTAGCGTCCAATCAGAGGTTGTGACATCGCGACCTCCACGGAAACCTTGACATTGAATGAACCTTGAACTTTGCAACTCGATTATCACAGGTAGACATTTTAGCTTGAAAGCGCGAGACCTGGTATTCGCGACGATCGAGGAATCTGATAGGCTCACAAGTTGGGCTTGTACCCAATCGAAATTAGTGCTGAAATATGTAGGGTATTACGTGAAGGCCTTGATAAGATGTACGTAGTTAAAGCGAGATCAGGCCTTCTATTGTAGATGCTTTCTGAAGGACCACATAGTGATGATCAGTGAAAGAAGCTCTTAAATCTTGTACATGACTACCCTAATATTCCCAGACAAGGGCAAAAACTTTATAGAAAATCGATGCACAACTTTGAATTTCAATAGAAGAACAGCTAAATATTCTCATAAAATAGGGTATGTATGAGATGCTGGCATATTTAGAAATTTCTGTTAAGAGTTATGTTGTTAAGAAGATAACAAAATGAAATGTGGTTTAACATCCTACTTTTCTACACCAACATGGCTAAAGAAGACAAGCAGTGTGCTATGACGGTAATTGTACCTGGACAGCAGAGTTTCCGCTAACTCTCCATTGAATCCTAGTGTCAATGGTTCCGTTTTTCGTATCCATCCTAATGACTAGATATTTTTTGACCTCTCTCCTGCACCACTGATAAGGGGCAAATATGCTGGAAAATTCTGAGGAACTTTCTTGGCCAACACAGAGATGGAACATGAGACCTCCTGGTTATAGTGAGCTAGTGATTGAAGGATTAGGATAATATATAAATAGTTAATAAGTACATATAGTTATTTACCTGACAAGTCTGACCAGCTTGACAATCTAACATATGGAATAAAAAACCCAATTCACAGGCTAAACAAAATTCTTTCTGACATAGATGACTAATTAACGCACATCTTAACGGTTCAATAAAATATAAAACCTGAAATATATAAATAACACCAGTAAAAGTAAAACATAATGGGCAGAGTATTCATTTTTATAAGATTAAACTTGTCTGTATAATAATAGCATTTCGAAATTTAAGAGTCATTAGCACCAGTCTTCACCAGCTGACACAGAAATAATGCTTGATTTGATGTCATTTAATTTGACTTAAAAGAGAGAAAAGAAAGGAAATGGGGTTTAACATCTGACTTAAAAGAGCAATCAAATTAAAATTATGGTTTAAACAACACATGAAAGGAAAAGAGAGAGAGAGAGAGAGAGAGAGAGAGAGAGAGAGAGATTAACACATGGTTCAATTTTATTTCAAAATTCCCTTGCGAGTAGGGGTCTTTAGGAGTGGGAGAAAACCGGAGGACCTGAAGAAAACCCATGAGGTTGGACCGGTGACCCAACTCCTTGTCAGATACAACCCAGGAATCGAAATGAAATGGGGTTTAACGTCCTACTGTTCTGCTCCTATGGTGGACTAATGAAGATGGGCATACGCCATACAGTGTGCTATGAGGGAAATTTTGCCTGGGCCGCGGCACTATCGCCTACTCTTATATCGAATTCCAACTGCCAAGGGATCTTTTACGTGCATTCCAATGTATACACGGGACCTCGGTTTTTCCTCTCATCCAAAGGACTAGACAGCTGTCCTTGTCAGGCCCTCCGTCCTGCATCACTGACAAGGGGAAACCACGCTGGAAAATCTGGATGAACTTTCTCGGCCAATAATGCAGGGATCGAACACCCGACCTCCAGGCTAGCGAGCCAGTCCTGAGGTATAAAAGATAAACTACGTATATACCTGTAACATAGCATTACAATAAGCATTAGGAATGTGAGTCTCTAATCCTGCAAACTTTGTTTTATTGTAATGACGGAAATCAAAATCAGCCAATCCCAGTTTAGAATACTTCATCTCTAATTTCTTGTATGTTCTTGGAATCAAGACAAAGGCTTCCTCTCCTAAAAATACAAAACATATAATTAATATACTTACAATAATTTACAAGAATTTAGAACTTAAAGATGGGTTCCCAGAAAAGTGTTTATCGGGTGGTTATTTCCAATAAAAGTATGGCAATTTTGGTATATATGGAAAGTAGAGATATCCAATCTTACTAGAAAATACTGGATTCCCCAAAAAACACTCATGAAGCGTATACAGGACAAAAATGTAAGGATTCCCCTAATTGACAGCCCGACGATTAAGAATTTCTGCACGCGTAATGTCAAAGGTCACACGCGAACATTAAGCGCTTGATGTACAAGTTGATAAACTTTATGAAGAGTTAGACGTACAACACTTTCCGAGATAAAAATGACAGAAAAAGACGCGGGTAGTGGATAATCCGAGAATTTAATTAGGATTCGATATTTGTAAGAAACAGTAAGTGATTAAAGACAACATCGTCTTATGTATGCAATGAGTTCTCCTCTGACTTCCAAGAGAGGTAAGTCACGTGACGTAAACATGACCTGGTTTGATCGCATTTTTATAGCAGGGCATTCCTTCGCAATTACAATGTTTGAGAAGGATTTGAAGCATAATTATGACAAATTAATTAGTTTGAATATGTTTTGGGTCCATATATGCCATTAAATCACTCAGTTTGTACGCGGGAACCCATCTTTAAGGTCCAAGAGTCAGGGGTGATGACAATATTCTCCACTGTAAAATGCGGGTGTATAACAATCCTGATTTTTTTTTTCTTTGTGTGATTTACTGTAAATTTTAGAGCCCCATGTTATAGCACACGATCAGCCTTTCTTCTTCTTCAGTAAATCATCATTATGTACAAAAACATAACAATATAGTTAACCGTATAAGCAAAATCAATCTAAATGTGCTTCAGTGTTTTGATATTTTATAGAAAACTTTTTGGGGGATTTGATTCTCTGTGGAGGATCAGCCAAATATATGTAGAATGTCATATTGTAATATATGTATATATATCTCACCTCTTCCTAATGGTGATTCCGGAACGCTTGATTTATTTGTTTTTTTGTTTTTTGACAGTTTGTATGGAACTTGGTTCCGACGCTCTTTACCAGGATTCTGTGCATATCCAGCATTATGATTATTATAAACCTTAATAGCTCGTAATATTTCTGGATCAATAGCTTTTGGCTTCCTGAAAAAAATCATCAAAAGAAGTTTTAAAAAATGTTATAAATTTTTTTCAAACCCTAAATAGTAAGTGCAGGAGGACAGCACTACACACAAACAAAACCTATAAGACAAACCCTGCAACGCACAACAAACAAATATATCAAATCAAGTGAAAGGGTCCTGTGTCTACTGTGCTGTACAGTCAATAAAGACACTAATATTTATTTTGAATGTATGATGTTTCTGCAAAAGAGTTTTTATTAGCATAAAACCTTACCCCGGACCTTGCCACAAGTAAAGGAATGACATGGTGAGTGCATATAATTAATCATGGATAATGATTTATGTGGGTAGCCATTTCCAATGTTGAGAGGGATAGAGAGGGTCTGATGTCCACTCGACACAAACTAGGTCATTTCAGGAATAACATATAGGGCAATTTCATTTCCATAATTCACTTGCATATAGGGGTCTTTAGTAGTGGGAAGATACCAAAGGACTCATTTAAATAGTCATTATAATATGTTCTGATATATCGTTTAAACAGTCATTATAATATATTCTGATATATTGTTTAAACAGTCATTATAATATATTCTGATATATCATTTCAACAGTCATTATAATATATTCTGATATATTGTTTAAACACAGTCATTATAAAATATTCTAAAATATTGTTTAAACAGTCATTATAATACATTCTGATGTATCATTTCAACAGTCATTATAATATATTCTGATATATCGTTTCAACAGTCATTCTGATATATTGTTTCAACAGTCATTATAACATATATCGTTCCAACAGTCATTATAAAATATTCTGATACATTGTTTAAACAGTCATTATAATATATTCCGATATATTGTTTCAACAGTCATTATAAAATATTCTGATATATCATTTAAACACAGTCATTATAAAATATTCTGATATATCGTTTAAACAGTCATTATAAAATATTCTGATACATCATTTAAACACAGTCATTATAATATACTCTATCGTTTAAAAAGTCATTATAAAATATTCTGATGTATCGTTTAAACAGTCATTATAATATTCTGATATATCGTTTAAACACAGTCATTATAAAATATTCTGATATATATTGTTTAAACACAGTCATTATAAAATATTCTGATATATCGTTTAAACAGTCATTATAATATATTCTGATATATTGTTTAAACAGTCATTATAATATATTCTGATATATTGTTTAAAAAGTCATTATAATATATACCTGTATAATATACCTGTATAATTTAAACAGTCTAACAACCAGTATAATATATCATTTAGTCAATACTAACCTGTATATTTTTTGAGCAAGATGCATTGGCCAGTCTGAGATAAGATGGCCATTAGTAGGATATATCATAGGTATTAAGGAATAAGGTGTTCTCTCATCCATTATATGGATAAAGTCTATATGATCTACCTGCAACAATAGACGATAAGATATAAAATGGGCCTAAAAATGAATTTATTTTTGCAAAAATCTGTCAGGATTATAGTCTTAATCATATGCAAATTGTCTCTGTTTCGACTGTGAGGAATAATAGTCGGGACAAAATAGCTCCAAATTTGTATACCAAGATTAAAGGTAAAACATATCATGTTCTCATACGATTTATGTTCTCATAGGATTTAGGATCAGTTAAGAGCAAAAATATATCCATTGATAATTGAAAAAAGAGAGAGATCAATTCGGGACTAATACATGGTTCAATTTTATTTCAATAATTCGCTTGTGCGTAGGGGTCTTTAGCAGTGGGAGGAAACCGGAGGACCAGGAGAAAACCAATGAGGTTGGCCAGGCGACCCTACTCCTTGTCACCTTCAACCGGGGAAATGAAACCCCGCCAGTTGACTCAATGACAGACCTTATGAGAGAGAGAGAGAGAGAGAGAGAGAAATGGGGTTTAACGTCCACTCGACATAAACTAGGTCATTTCGGGACTAACACATGGTTCAATTTTATTTCAATAATTCGCTTGCGCATAGGGGTCTTTAGCAGTGGGAGGAAACCGGAGGACACGGAGAAAACCCACGAGGTTGGACAGGCGACCCTACTCCTTGTCACGTACAACCAGGGAATCGAAACCTCGCCAGTTGACTAAATGACAGATCGTATGATACAGCGCGCGCGTGCTGACCATTTATGTAGCCTTGTTAACAGAGAATTTTTTTACATTTTGGCATCTAATTTCATTTGTTGGCAAAGTTTTTATAATTTATTTCCAAGAAATTCATGTCAAGCAACATATGTTCATGAAATTGTACCGAAGTTTAGGTAATTTGGTGAGAATATTCATGAATTTTGATTTTTTTAATATTTGTGCAAACAACTTACAGGATCGGCAAATTCTATGGCTTCAGGTTCAAAATTAAAACAAGCATGATCTCCTGTAGAAAATAAATGAATATAACCTGAAAGAAAGAAAACAAATTAAATTAAACATGTTATCATGAAAATGGTATAAAATAATGTGCATTTGAAGCTATATCATATACAGAGTAGAAATCACACTATGAATTTAACCCTTTAATTACATGGGATCCATTCACCCAGGGTTATCGCTCTACACAAATCTTCCTTGGGGCCTGTTGACTGGGCACATTTTAGGCCTAGAAGAACATAGAGACCACAGTTAACCACAAAGATCAAAAGCAAATTGTTATCACAGTAGGACCTGATTACCAGGTCCAATTCTATTATTAGAATATAGAAATAGGCTCAGTAAGTGGGTGACCATTGTAATCAATAACAAAAGAGTTATCTTTAAAGGGCATTTAGTGAAAGCGATATATATAATAACAGACAGCTGTATGGACAACATTCACTAGGCTTATTATATAACTGCAAAGTTTCAATGTGGGTACTCTCACCGTCATTGAAACATTGCAGTTAATAAACCTAGTGAATGTTATCCATAAATCTGTCTGTTAACAAAAGGGTAAACAACTATTTTAGGTAATCTGTCCTGCATAAGTCCCAAATTCAATAAAAATTGCTTCTAAAATGCCGAGAGTTTGTAAAAGATTATTGGAATTGGAAGAGTATGCAGAACAATATATATATATTGCTAGACATGTTCAAATGTAGCCATCCAGATATAACAGCATTCTACATGCCCCATGTTCTGTGCATTATTGGATGATTGATAATCAGTATTTTTTCTGCCAAAAAATTGTAATCCTATATGCATATTCTCAAAAGAAAATAGAACTGTATCAACAAAAGCGATCGAAAAATGTTTGTGTTTTGGTCAATGATTTGCTGACGTTAGATCAATCACGCACAGAATATGACACAAGCAGAATCTGGGTGTACTGTTGTCTATAACTTACTGGAACTGTCTCCAAATGCCAAAGCTTGACATGATTGAGATATATCAAAACTTGTAATGGCAGCACCATGAGAGTTAACATGATATAACATCATATTTGGTGGTGTCATGGCTGTTGTTTCTATCACCTGGAAGCTTCCACTCTGTAAACATTATATTTCACTAAATATGTTCATGACATTATAGTTATACAAGAACATAAATTTTGGGGACAAAGACTATACTATCAATGTAGAGAGATGATATAATACACCTGGCCACAATTTCACAAAACATTCTCATATTTACGAATTTACTCAAAACTGTTTGCCTTATTTTAACTCAAATATAGCCCTTTATAAAAAATTTAATGTTTTAATATATCAAATACATCAATAAGAAACTATGTGCAAATTTTTGTATTTCTGGATTAAAAATGTTTCTCATAAACAGTGATTGAAAGTTGAGTAAATTCTTAATTTAAGTCAGAGAATGTTTTCTGAAACCGGGGTCAGAACTAATAACAGTTTCAGTATCTTAGTTATACAATGTTGAAGTGATAATGATTCAATCAAAACCTCATTTTTCATATTAACATTTCTTTAAGCAAATAAGAAAACATAACATTGTTTAAATTTCCAATGTAATTGTTTTAACGTTCTACTGTTCTGCACAGACTGGCTAATGAATACGGACATACACCATACAGTGTGCTATAAGGGAAATTTTTCCAGGACAGCAGCATTAGTACAGCCTACTCATATATTGAATTCTAACTGCCAGGGGATCTTTACGTGACACGGTATCCTACTTTTATATTGAATTCCAACTGTCAGGGGTTCTTTTGGGTGCACACTAATGTGATCACAGGACCTTGGTTTTTCGTCCTATTCGAATGCCAATGTAAAATGTTGGCATGTGTAAAATGTTGGTATATGTAAAATGTTGGTACAAGGACCCTGTGTAAAATGTTGGTACAAGGACCCTGTGTAAAATGTTGGTATATATACTGTATGTAAAATGAAAATACCTGAGATACAACAGCCAATCTGTTAGAATAGGCAGACACAAATCTAACAAACATGGGATCTATAGGTATCTGTATCGGTGCTACAGCTCTCATAACTCTCATATCATACACCTTTATAAATCTATCAGCTGTCATAGCACCCATTCTATAAAATACAAATATATTTTGCACAATTTCTGATCATTCCGTGATATACAGCTCTTATGTTCTAATTTAAGAGATGCACAGATTTTATAGTGGCTCTTAACACCTGACAAATAATCCTGGACATGAGGCACCTGTCACAGACGTTGTCAAGTATAAATTATCCTACTATCCTACAACATATATACATATTAGTGACAAACTAGTTATTTCAATCTTTTAGAGTCAGATAACATCAGATGCAGATTTTTCAATAGCCTCGCATATGGACAAAAACTGATCATTTTCCATCAGTTTTAAAGTACATCCAATAATGAGAGACGGAGAGAAATGGGGTTTAAAGTCCACTCAACACAAACTAAGTCATTAACTAGGTCATTAACGTCCACTGGACACAACCTAGGTCAGTTTGGTTAAATTTTATTTCAATTATCTGCTTGAACGTAGGGGTCTTTAGCAGTGGGAGGAACCCAAGGACCCAGAGAGGTTAGACAGGCGACCCCACTCCTTGTCACGCACAACCAGGGAATAGAAACCATGGCACTTGACTCAAAGACACACCTTATGATACAACGTTAAACCATTCAGCCACCCAACCCCTCATCCAATAATGAAATCGAGTAGCCTGGATAAATGTGTGAGCACTACAGTCTTTGCTACTATCTATTTACTTACCTATTTGCAAAACCACAAGTAACAATTAAATTCCCCTGTACATCAAAATCTGACAGTGTTCCTGTATGAGCATCTAATACTTGTTCACCCTTCATTGACTTACTATCATAAAGTGTTACCTATATGGAGATAAAATAACAAAATAATAAAAAAAGAAACACCAGATAAACTGATATACATTGTCATACATACTTTCAGGCCTCTAGATATTGATCTAAAACATTTCAAACTGTTGATATACAGGTTTAACTGGACCAAATGCCATGCTTACGAGTATCAAAAAGGCTTTCATTTTGTTTATTTTTTTTGTATTAATTTGTAATGTCAGTCCTGAGAAAATAACTAAATGTGGGCGTGTCTTTTGGATGGCATTTGGTGGAGTTAAGTTAAAATCTGAATTTTCATGCAAGCAAATTGATTGCCGGTAGATCTCATAGCAGAACTTAATCAGTGAAATTTACTGTTGTTTGACAACATGAATTCAATAATACACCAGATCATATAGTAGACTATATTATTCTATGTGCCTTACGGTCTTTGCATGATTGGTCGAGTATCAACAGAGGACTGGATCCAAAGAAAGTTTCTCCGTATATACAGAGGCAAAGAAAACAACACTGAAACATGTTGAGATCTATTCTGTAAACACAGTTATATTTTCTTTAAAATTTAAATTCCACAAATTTCTTTTTATAATTATTGGAGGAAGGTCAGCCATTCTTCCATCTCAGATCCACATTAGCAGATCATGTTCAAAGCAAAGGGCATCAAGAAAATGATTGTACTATATAATTATGTACGTTTAATATTATGTACTATATAATTATATACGTTTTATATCTAAATTGTATCTTCACTGTAAGAATAAAATATACCACCTTTCCACTGGTATCACCAACACATAAGTATTTTCCACTCTGACGAAGAATAGCACAACCAGCATCATTTGTATCAAACTAGAAGTAGAAATATTAACAGCACTAAAATCTAATTCAGGCTTTTAGAGACAAATAATGAATAGTTTTCCATTTGAACAATATTATATTTCTCTATTTGCAATGACTCTATGTTGTCATAAACTATCAATTATCTGTGAATCTGGATAAAAAATGATACCATGATTGGTTCTGGATAGTAAGTTTAAAATTTATAATAGAAGGCTGATCTCTCCAACCACCCTATTATCAATATAACTTTTGTATTGATGTCAAATCTCTTTTCTATTTACAAATCAAATCTCACTGTATAACTTCCAGTGTTAGGATTTAACTACAAGAGTTAGGATTTAACTACCAGAGTTAGGATTTAACTACCAGAGTTAGGATTTAGCAACCAGTGTTAGGATTTAACTACCAGAGTAAGGATTTAACTATCAACATTAGGTTTTAACTATTGATCATCAATAATAAAATCCAATACTTTTGCAGAGGAGTACTAGCTTAGATCAGACACCACACATTCCTTGATTTTGTCTAATGAGTCTTTACAATAAATGACTGAGGAAGTTTGACAATATCATGTCACACATGCAACAAATATTTAATTTCATCTAAATTTAATAACCAATCTTATAAATTTCTAACCTCTTGAACTATCTGTACTTTGTTCAGATCTATTTCTATGGCTTTCTTTTGATGACCTCCGATGAGTAGAGAAGTTTGAGATGTACGTAACATACACTGCATGTCCTGCATGACTGGATCACTGTAATATTTAAATAACATTACACATACATATAATACACTTAACAGCAGCAAAGTCATCCATGCTAGTTCTAGAAGCCACTATGAACTATGTCCCATGCTTTCAAGGTAAAAATTGTGAAGAGAAAGACATTTTTCAAATTTATCATCCTTTCTAATAATTACCCCCCCCACCCCCCAAGTTTCACATAATTCTTTCTCTCAAGAACACTGTTCCGTATGCACATGTACATCTATAGACTTCCTTATAATGAGCAATCCCACGAGTTTCACAAAATTCTCTCAAGAACTCTGTTCCGTATGCATGGACAAGTAGCTTGTGAATAACACAGGTATTCTACAAATATTAATGAATACTCTGCTTCATGCACATTGCAGATTTGCAATTTACTTCCTATATATTTGCTCTAGTCTTTAATAAAAATATCACTAGTACATATTTATTTCCTTACGAGTATGTAAAGACCGATAATCCTCTTCGGACCGAACATCGTAAAGCATTTCTGGTAAGGGAGAGAATTCCTTGTTCTGTAGTCAATATTTGTCTTATTTCGTCCGTCACATGGGAACGGAAAGCTGAATATTTCTGTAAATTTAAACCACCATAAGATGCTGCATAACCCTGAAATATAAGTATATATACCAAGTTATAAGCATGAAGCATCAATGCAGCAGACGGCCAATAATAATAATTTTGACAATGAAAACAGGGGTGTCAAACTCATTTCAATTCAGGGTCCATGAAATAAAATTTTACATCAAGTGGGCCAGAGAGATATAAAAAAATTAAAAAAAACAAAGTTAACCATCCTTGAACTTTACTGAATTCTAAAAACAAAGCCAAACGTCCTTGACACAGGTAATTTTTCAAGTGGTTTCCAAATTGCCAAGATTTAATAATGAACACAACATTCTCTTGTATTACATACAACTTATATATCTATGAGTCACTATAACATACAGTACGGAAGTCAGAGTTTTACTGCAACCGGAAAACAATAATAAATGATTTCCACCTCTAGTTTCTAATAATTATCGACCGGTCAGTTTATTGAAATTTGTCCCAAGAATGACACATTTAACTCCTTGTCGGGCTGGATCAGGCCTGCTGGCTGCATGTTTGACACCCCAGCTCTACTAGAGTATCTGCATAATATTACAGTTCGGTTATTGAAGGCTGTGACTAGGATAGTGTCACACACACTTGCTCAACATTCTCTTGTATTACATACAACTTATATATTTATGAGTCACTATAACATACAGTACGGAAGTCAGAGTTTTACTGCAACCGGAATACAATAATAAATGATTTCCACCTCTAGTTTCTAATAATTATCGACAGGTCAGTTTATTGAATTTTTTCCCAAGAATGACACATTTAACTCCTTGTCGGGCTGGATCAGGCCTGCGGGCTGCATGTTTGACATCCCAGCTCTACTAGAGTATCTGCATAATATTACAGTTCGGTTATTGAAGGCTGTGACTAGGATAGTGTCACACACACTTGCTCAACATTGGAATGTCTTAATAATACACTAGGTCATATAAATGTCAACCGAATCAGTGGCATATCAGAATACAAAAGCCAGGACATTAGGGGGTAAAGGTGTATCTTTTATAATATTATGGTAATTCAAACTATATGGTACTTACTCCTTGGTTTCCAGCCCATAATAGTTCCTGTGTGTCGAAACTTAAACAGGTTATAGGATAACGTCCAACTCCATCCATCCACACACTCTGAACCTCATTAAACTCTGACTCTGGCTGGTTTCCAGGATGGAACATCTGATTGCCATGGAAATCATTTGGCATCATATTTGGGTCCATGATTCTCTCTTGCAACATCTCAGCTGGAATTGGGGGAATCCCATCAACAGTAAAAGTTGAGGGCACACCTCTAAAATCCATTTTATGTGTAAACAACTTCAATTATCCATGAAATTCTGATAAAACAAAATCCATACTGTATCCACTATCCATGTAGTATATGATACAGGTACATTTACATTTAGGCCTACCTCCAGAATGGACAAATTGTTTCAAATTTTGCACATAAATGTGGTCTCTTTTCATTAGGCCTACTCTTGTATGGCTGGTTTAACACAAATCGCATAACTCACTAAACAGAAAAAAAGGTGTTTTATCAATTAACTCGATTGCCAAAGTGATAGACAAAAGTGTTGGTCTAGGCTAGAACTAAATTTTCATGTTCCTGAAAATTTTATTAAGAGACCTTGGTCTGGATTTGCAAAAAATCTTGCGTAAGAGTAAGAGTTTGTTTGGGTTGAACCGATGTTAATGATGATGTTTCATTTTATTTACATGTAGCGCTCAAAAATGAATATTTACAATATGATGAAGCTGCATTCGTTTTAATTGAAATGAAATGGGGGGGGGGGTAACATTCTTTATGTACATGCACATTTCTTCAATAACTGAGCTAATGATGACAGACATATATACTGGCGAATTTTGTCTGGACTGTGGCACTACGGTCTATATATTCTGGGACTGGGTTCTTTTATAAGTGCACGCTAGTGAACACATAACCTCAGTTTTTTGTTACCATCCAAACGACTAGAAACTGTTTCTTATCAGGCCCTCTGTCCTGTACCACGGTCAAGAGGAAACCATCCTTGAAAATCGTAAATATGATTCTAGGCCAACCCTGGATCAAAAACAAGACCTCGAGGTTAGTGAGTTGATCAATGTCATGTAGACCACGATGGTAGTTCAACCCAGTTGAAGCTCTGGCCAAGTTTAAAAGAAAATAGTATTTAGTATTATATATTTATTGGCATGATTTCGACTGATTACTGAGTGATATATATAGCGGTATTGTATTGTGATACTGATGATGATGTGATTTTTCAATCAATGACAAAGACTGAGTAGGACTGATTTTTTTCATAATTTCAATTAATTTTATCGATTATCTAGGCCTCCTGATGTTGTTGGCGTAAACAGCTTACCGACACAACATTAAGGTTGGGGTTCAAAAAGTTTAAAACTCTAATTAATAGTGTAATACCATCATACATGTCAATCTGAGCTACAATGAATACATACTTCGTAAAATTTGCTGTTTTTGCCACCATTTTCTCTGTCCCTCTACAAAAGTTTAGAGTTATCCCCCCATTAATGCATTGCCTCATAGAAATATAGACTATTTCTATGCATTTCCTAATGTGGTTCTATTTGTTGAATGAATAACAGTAATGTTTCAAATTATCTATTTATATATATAAATTGTATAATAATACTAATTTATTCATTTATTTAGACCCAGTTTTCTACTTGTTCAAAAGTGGCTATTATGTGACAGCTGGGGTATATAATTTTCTTTTTAATTTAAAGCTAAATATATAAAAATAACCATAGGCGTACGAGCCAGGGGAGGCATGGGGGGCAGGGGCAGCTACCCCCCTAACTTTCGGGCAAGCTGACTTTTCGGGCAGACGGGTGAAGTGAAAAAAAAATTTTATTTCATCTACTTGGCAAAATAAAGTGCCCGAAATATAATAAAACACTAATTTTAGGGGCTGGAATATAGCAGTAAAACGCGTTTGCGGCCGCCAAATAATCCAAAATTTTCTTGGGGGATCCATACAAGGTCAGCTCCGCTTCTTCGCCTCTCAAAGAAAACCGGCGCCGCTGTCTATAAACCCGAAATTTTTCGGGCATTTCTAGTTTTGCTTTGTTGTAATTGAATATCACGGATTAAAACATTTTGTCTGGAGCCACTCTATTTTGTGCGACATTTCTCGGGCATCGATTATTATTTGTGAATGCAGATGAAACAGTCTGATTGGATGGTTGGAATTCAGAGTGGGATTTCGGTTACAAAACCATTGGATACTTTTGGAGTTGCTTACACGGGCTATATATATATATTGGACCAAATTGAAGTTGCTGTATTCACAGGCTGGAATAGCAGGAAAACGCGTTTGCGGCAGTTAAATTTTCAAAATGTTCTCCCAACGGTCCCGTCTTCGTGGACAGTAAATGATTCATTGGAATTCGAATCGGCCACCTTAATTAGGCTATATTAGACCACTTTGAAGTTGCTTTGTTCACCGGCTGAAATAGCAGGAAAACGCGTTTGCGGCAGTTAAATTTTCAAAATTTTCTCCTAACGGTCCTTCGAGGACTGTAAACGACGGATTGGAATTCGAGTCAGCCACCTTAATTAGGCTATATTAGACCACTTTGAAGTTGCTTTTCACAGGTTGAAATAGCAGGAAAAGTGTTTGCAGCCGTCAAATATTCCCAAATTTTCTTTGGAGGGGGGTGGGGAGGTCCATACAAGGTAAGCTCCGCTTCTTCTCCTCTCGAGGAAACCGGCGCCGCTGGCTTATCTGACAGCCCCATTTCACTCGCAAAGAGATACACAGTCAAAAATGAAAATAGACGTTTTTGATTATTGTCTTAATAATGAGTAATTGCTCCACCAATCCTCAAACATTCAGAAATTCGTCGTGGCACGCTCCTAATCAACCGTCCAATCACGATTTGAGGCAATCTGACCCACTCCTCTTGCAGTGTCTGCCGATCAAATAAAACGTAACATACTAAAGCAACCGTCCAATCACGATTTGGGGCAATCTGCCCCATTCCTCTTGCAGTGCCACGGCCAATTCTAAAGCAAAGATACGCTAAACAGTAAATCTTATGCAAGAACCGATAGGAATTGAAGTGTCAAATTGAACAATGAACCCCTCCCACGTGTATGCAGCTCAGTGGTTCCGTTGGGGCGATAAGTTCTTCATCTGTGAACATACTCTCAAAGCATGTCAAATGTCCATGACTATTTATCATATCGCAACCTTTATAGGTATTTGCATTTCAATATCCCCTACTTTTTTGAAAAGTATATTATACAACAATTTATGGTATATGGTTTACCTGGTCAAATATGCTTTAGATTGAATTACCTTGAATAAACTTAAAAATTGTAGGCCTAACATTTGTGACTCACTATTAGCAGGAAGTGTTTTATTTAGTTAGTTTCATATACACTCTATGGTTCTATTTTTAGAGTGTTTGTATTTATAATCATATAACGTATGTCCCAGTTAAAATTTCAAATCAATAATTTCTTGTGTGCTCTAAATTTGAGACCAACTTGCGTCGACAACCTATAGAGGTCTTTGCACTTATGAATGGGAGTAATATGTTAACGGATATTTGTGTGACTGATAAGTCTGGCGGCAGTTTTATGTACGCGCTGTGGGCGATCAAGCTAAGTAAAATGCAGTCAAGAGTCGTTCGATAAAATATGGCGTGTAAAAGGAAAGAAAACAGAAAAAAATCAAATTGTTTATTTTCAGCTTTTCTATTATATTCTATTATATTATATTATTCTAGTATCAATAGGCAAAGCAGTGTCGAGCTTTATGGCCATGTCGTTGTGTCCAGCGCTCCTCATTGCAGCTATTATTCTTGGTAAGACATCATGGCCTCTATGGAACAGTATGTCCACAAGATTTATAGCTGCATTGAAATTTCCATCGGCCGTCTTTTTTCTTTCTACTTGATCTTTATCGTCATCGCTAATGATACGACAAGTAATAAACTGACCCAGTATCTTGGGGAGGTCAGCTTTGAAATCATCCACCAGTTGCATATAATAGTCTGTCCATATTGTGCAATGTGAAGCAATCATTCGACCATACTGTACTGAAAAAGAAAAGAATTTAAAGCTTAATAATGCATTATGTAAGATTTAGATAAAGAGCTGACAGTCTTTGCTATTAAAGTTAAAACATATATAGATAATGAAAAGTGAATATATTGAAAATTTCAGTCAAATTACCTCAAGTTATGGCTGTTTGAAAAATATTTTCCTAGACTTTGAAGTGTTATAAACCAATTAGGTTCATAAAAAACACCCCCACAAGCTAACTTTACGTCGCTTCGCTGGAAATGAAATGGGGTTTAACGTCCTGCTGTTCTGCTCCGAATTGGGTTAATGAAGACGGGTATACGCCATACAGTGCTATGAGGGAAATTTTGCCCGGACAGTGGCACTACGACCTACTCATATATCGAATTCCAACTGTCAAGGGGTCTTTTACGTGCACGCCAATTTGTACACGGGATCTCAGTTTTTCGTCCCATCCAAACGACTAGACAGCTATCCTTGTCAGGCCCTCCGTCCTGCATCACTGACAAGGGGGAACCACGCGGGAAAATCTGGATGAACTTTCTCGGCCAATGCAGGGATCGAATACCCGACCTTCGGGCTAGCGTCTTACTCACTTAGCCACCGTGCCCCCGCGCTTTGCTGGAACTGCATGTCACGGAACACTGACAAATTGACAGGGTTCATACAGTGACGCTATGGTCACGCGTGGTTGTATTAAATAATTGAAAGGTTTTTTCTGATTTCTGGGGAATTATGTGTGGTAATAGAATACGTGCCAATATATAAAATAATTGAAAGGGGTCTTCTTAGTTCTGGGGAATTGCGCATAACGGAATGCAAAAATATTTTTTTGAAAATAATTACTAACTATAGTCATATTGTATGTCACAGTGAAAGCGTATTTCGGGAGAATGCTCTATTTGTTACCGCTTGGATATACGGTGTTTCCCACTGGCTGGCATTATGAAATTTGTTCTAGTTTACCTAATGATGATGGTATTTACTAATATACCACTATTCGTTACTCAACTTATTATAGATTCAAATATTAAGCTAGACATAAATAAAAAGATAGTTTGATAGATAATAAGCACCCCCCCCCCCCCCGAGGCAGCTCAAACATAGAAAATATTACAGTCCATAGCAAACAGTCAAAAACCACCCAACTCTCAATTATGCCGACAGTCTTTAAAATTCGTGTAATAAACGAAGGCTTACCCTGGTTGGTAGAATTATTACCCTGGACGGTACAATCAGTTTTTTCTGATGTTAACTGAGTCATTTTTTTATCACCCTGAAAGATGAGATCAGACTTTCAACTTTGGAATTCATTTAGCCTTTGAATTTATAATTTTATATCTAAAATGGATGGATTTTACAATATTGACTACTCGACAGAACAGAACCCAATATAATCAGAGTATAATACAGATCCTGTTAAGTTTTTATGGTTTAAATTTCATCTTACGTGGCGGTACGGTTCGTGATAAAAGGCCTTGTATTTTGCCGCCGATCCGAATATTGTTTTTTTTAATTATGCTGACATTTTCGACCATAAACAGGTCAAGATCGTGAGGGTGAGGGTTGGCGCCGATTTTTTTTAGAACCACCTCGTCCCTGCCGTGAGAAATGAAAGAATTTTTATGATTATGACGAATGTCCATTCCGTCTATTATATATACTACTTTCTATTTGTCTTATAAACAACTATTATACTCTTAATAAATCAGTAGAGATTCGGCTTCTTAAAAATGTTGATACTCACCATAATTACAGCTGTCTGTCTTTAGCAACTGACTTATTTCTACCGACTAACAAGTTTATATGCCCGTGTTATACAGGCCCACTATAAGAAGATATTTTTAAAAGTTTGTTTCTATTTCCCTGATTTTGTATAGGTAGGGGCGTATTAGCATATCTGAGTCATGACTTGGTCTGACCCAAACAACATTTATTTTACACCAGGAACAAGATCCCTTTTTCAGATAATGCCATTATTACTAATACTTAAAATATTAGAAAATATAATCTACTGGAATCAACACATACTTTATCACCCAATGTTCTCCTAAGTAATTGAAAATATAGACCACACCTATTTATTTAAAGTATATATTCCCAAATAATATGGCAGAAATTACACGAAATATGGGTCAATAATAATCTGTTCATAAATCTTACCAGAATAAATCAATGTTTTTGTATAATTACACAAGAAAAGTAAAAGAATGGAAAAATAATTATACATATTTAATAAACGTTTCAAATACCAGAAGTTATATTTCATACTTAGAAGCGAAAACTAAAATAATTTTAATAATATACAACACAGTAGATGGATACAATATTTTAAAAATGAAACTAGACATTATGTTTCTATAATTTACAGGGTTTCAAATTGTATTATTACGCCTTTGTGGTCTTTTCAGTCTAGCTCATAACCCGTAGCAGCACGTACGGTCGGTTTTGAGCTATGCTTAAAACAACAATAAACGGCAGATTAGGTCAACATTTAATTAATCATATATACTATTCAAAAAAAGTAGGGGATATTTGATTTTGGGGGCATAATACTAAAATATGCAAATGACTACGAAAAAAGTCACTATAGAACCTAACAGAAGAAACATTTCCAGTTACATGTGACGCCCAAACGCACCAATAGCTACCGCATGGAATGCAGGTGATGCTTGGGATCATCATGGGGGTCCAACCCAAGATTTGCACGACTCTGACTTTGAATGTTACAGTCATTGTGGCATTGAATTCCAGGGTGGAAACATCAGTTCAATTGTTTTAGTGACCAGAAAACAAATTTTGATATGCGTTGGCTTACCCAAAATGAAAGGTTACGTGCCCTTGGCAGGCTATGGTCCAGATACCGTGATACACAATCTGTACAGGACAGACCACGCTCAGGTCGACCAAGGGCGACAACTCAAGCCCAGGATCGATTTATCCGTACCTTGGCCTTGAGAAATCGTGTCATCACAGCAAATCAGATCAGCGCTCGTCTTCAAACAGACACTGGTGTGAGAGTGAGTGGCCAGACGATTCGGAATCGACTGCATAGGGGTCACCTTCGCGCCCGACGTCCTCGCGTGATCCCTTGTTTGAGAGATCATCACATTCAGGCAAGACGTCGTTGGTGTAGGGATCGTCAACACTGGGATAATCGACGCTGGAGCAATGTCATGTTTTCAGATGAGTCAAGGTTCACTGTTGATTTTTTGGACAGACGTAGGAGGGTGTGGCGTCGTCGAAACGAGCGCTTCCAAGACGTTAACGTCATCAGACATGATCGATTTGGGGGTGGTTCTGTTATGGTGTGGGGAGGCATCACTGTTGCTGGAAGAACGGCTTTACATGTTGTTGCAGGGCGTGTTACAGGCCAGTACTACCGGGACAACATCTTGGCAGTCCATGTTGTGCCGTTCGCACGACGTCATGGCCGCCGTTTCATCTTCCAGGATGACAACGCAAGATGTCACAGGGCCAGGATCGTTACAGGTTACCTCCAACAACAGAACATCACCACATTACCTTGGCCAGCACTGAGTCCCGACCTCTCCCCCATCGAGCATGTCTGGGACATGCTTGGACAGAGGTTACGTCAACGTCAACAACGTCCTGCCAATGTCCAAAAACTTGCTGCTGCGTTGCAACAGGAATGGGACAATCTGGACCAAAATGACCTTAGACGTCTCATTAGGAGTATGCCACGTCGGATCAATGCTTGTTTGACAAACAGAGGAGGATTTACCCGTTACTGACTTGGTTGTGATGCTGTGGTGACTTTGCTGTTTGACCCCGGGTATCATTTTACCCTTATAATGGTCAGTCTGTGCCTTACTTAGTCTAACGATCATTTGGAATAAATCGATGAATGTGAACTTCATTTCATTTTGTCATTTGTTTCTTCGTCAGTTTCATTAGGTGACTTTAATAACACTTAAAAATCAAATATCCCCTACTTTTTTTGAATAGTATATATATACTGAGCGCCATGGAAAACGCATCACTTAGTTTTTCGTATAACAAAATGATCATGTAAACATATCTTATTTATTTTGCTTCTTATTGTGAACAATATTCAAATGGGAACACATCAATAACAACACATTTGTACACTTATGGATGTTTAATCTGTAATCAACGGTACAAAGTCAGAGGGGTCAAAACCAAAAGTACGACACAGATGTCAGTAGCGCGTGTGTCCTCCACGGGCTCTTACGCAAGCTGTGCATCGACGTCGCATGGAATTTACCGATGTTTGAAAGAAGGCCTGGGACAAATTGTTCCATTCTTGGACAAGAGCAGCTTCTAAAGCAGCAATGGTGTGCATCTGTGGTCTCCGATACAGATGGCGTCCAATCTCACCCCAGACATGTTCTATCGGTGCCATGTCGGTCAGTCAAAGAAATTGATGTTGTTAGCAGCCAGGTAGTCCATACTATAACGGGCGGTATGCGGACGTGCATTATCCTGTTGGAAGTGCTGAAGTTGTGGGTGCATCATCACGGTAGGCTACAGCATTAACGATGTACATTTGTATTTAGCAAACTAAGGGAAAGGGGATACTCCAAACGCTATCTACGACGTATAAAAAACAACACTCTAGCTGAGCTTGCCGCCAAAGAAACAAATAATATACAATCAGCAGTTAAAACCAAAATTTGTGGCCATCCAAGATGTCAAACATGCAAATCTTAAACATATCCGACCTTTTCCATAACAAAACATCTGGCACAAAATTTCATGCAGAAAATGTGACAAGCAATACGTAGGGGAGACTCAAAATGCACTTAGGGAAAGAATTAACGGTCACCGGTCAGACATAGTCACCAAAAAAGACAAACCTGTCTCAATTCATTTCAACCAACCAAATCATGACATTTCTGATCTCATGGTCACGCCAATAGAAAAGACCAAGAGCGACTTTGAAACTTCAGAAGAAATTAAAACGTTTAGGCTAACAAGAGAAAAATTCTGGATTGACAAATTGAAAACAACAGCCCCCCCCCCCCTAAGTTTGAATATTCATACGGCTAGCGCAATAGCTCCTTTTGTAGTTCCCTTTAGCGCAACAGCAGCAAGTGCATCCAAAATCATCAGAAAACACTATACTGATCTCCAAGAAAATCACCCGGAAATATTCACACAGAAACTTATAATTGCATATTCTAAAAATCAAAATCTGAACGACATCCTAGTGCACAGTAAATTAGATTAAATAAGACCAGTCTCCACCCTGACCCAAAACAAACCATATATCAAATCCTATCCCTAGCCGTTAGTAAATAAAATCAGTTAGATATAAGAATCCCTAGCCCTAACCCGGTGATGTGGAACAAACACGATTTTTTTAGAAAATCCAATCCGTAGTAGGAAACACACTAATGTGGCTCTCTCCCGAGAGCCTAAAATTTATTTTCTTTTTTCTTCAGAAACAATAATACCAGAATACCAGAAGCACCACCCAAGGAAGATCATTAGCGCCACCAACACCAATAAACAGTGAAATCGCCTTTATATATAAATCTAATGTATTGTATGTATTTTTAATAAAACTAGGAAATATCACGAACTAATTTTTCATCATCCTAGGTCAGTGCTTATGTGGAAGTTCCGATCCGATATGCGCGAATATCGCTAAGAACCAAGATCTTTGGGTTATAAACATGTATTTCAGGTTTCATCTAAATCGGATCAACATTGTGACCTCTACAGGGTCCACAACCTTGATATACCATAATTATGTTTATACTATTTGCGTATGAGTGGCGGCCATTTTGTCCGGCAGTTTTGGCCCGAAATTCGAACTCAACCAACATTACGGTGTAACGGTGATATATACAAACGTTTTTTTTTTAAATCGGATAATAATTGTGGACTCTAGAGGGACCACAAGCTAAAAACGCAATTTTTCGTACTATCAGGGGCCATGATTCAGGAAGTTACAATCCGATATGTGCGAAAATCGAAAGGAACCAAGATCTTTTGGTTATAAACATTTATTTCAAGTTTCATAAAAATCGGATCAACATTGTGACCCCTAGAGGTTCCACAACCTTGATATACCGATGTTTACACTATTTGCGTAGAGGGGCGGCCATTTTGTCCGACAGTTTTCGTCCGATTTTCACGAAATTCGAACTCAATCAACATTACGGTGTAACGGTAATATATTCGAACAGTTCTTTTAAATCGGATAATAATTGTGACCTCTAGAGGGACCACTAGCTAAATCGCGATTTTTCGAACAATCAGGGGCCATAACTCAGGAAGTTACAATTCGATATGCGCGAATATCGAAAGGAACCAAGATCTTTGGGTTATAAACATGCATGTCAAGTTTCATCAAAATCAGGTGAAAAGTGTGACCTCTAGGAGTCCACAACCTTGATACACCATATTTTTACACTATTAGCGTACGAGGGGCGGCCATTTTGTCCGGTTTAGACCGGAATAAAATTGTGACCTCAATAGGGTCCACAAGCTAAAAAAACGTATAATCAGGGGCCATAATTCAGGAAGTTAGGGTCCGTTATGCACGAATATCGAATTTAGTATAATAGGTCAAAATTAATCTTTTAATGATTACCTATACACCTGGGGGGAGGGGGGCAGTTCACAAATCCAAGTGTCAAAATTATGGTCTGGTTTGCTTAGCAAGTTGATGTGGATACGTTTTGCACAAAAACATCACTTTTTTCCAGATGCTACCCATTATCTTAGCTTTTCATTTTTGATAGGCACCAATAACTCCAAATATATTATATATGGCAGCCATCTTGGATGTAAAGCTGATATTTATCAATATCTCAGCTTCTAAACCTCTTAGGATCACAATCTTAGTGTCTAATCCTACATTTTCAGGATCAAGGAATACCATGATACCATCTAGAAATGGCACCACCTCCACTTCCTCCAAATGACGTGAACATATCAAAAAATAAACACGATAATATAAAAGATTTTTCAATTTAATAAATAAAAGTTTATATAATATATGCTTGATAAAAAGAATAAAATAATGAATAATATAAACAATTAATGTATGCTGAATTATAATAATGAGAAATGATTCCGATACACTGAATATTAATGGCTTTATAAATGATGGTTGACAATGATGGTTCCTTTTCTCATATAAATTGATATCCACAACTTCAACATTTAAGGAATTTAATGTAACCGTTAGCTAAGCCTGGTAGTAGACTATAACGATAATAGTAGCCTGACTATTGCCAATGGTAGTTCAAGATGATTTACCACAAACTGAATGAAATTAATGCATGGGTAAAAATCTGATCAACCAGTTATTAATAAATTCATATATGTGGTAGCTTTGGATTTATTAACAAATACTAAAAAGTACTTTAAGAATGCAGCCCCTTCATGAGGTAAGGGTTAAAAAGTATCCTCTGATTTTAACTCTTAAGTCAATCAAAATGCTGAATCCTTATATTATTTACTTTATGTAATAAGGCTGCTCCTCATTTGCAGTAATTTCACAGTTCCTCAGTATCCAAAATATCTAGGATAAAATAACAGGTTACTATCATAATGAATACATTCCAATGTATACACCTTTATACAAGAATAGAGTATTTGATACTTGCTGCCTCTGAAAACTTAACCTAGAGAGAGACGTGTACAGATGCAAGCTATATTTTAAAAATTGCGTAATAATTTATTTAATAATATATGTTAATATTGCATTCTGATTTCAAATATTATATGTACCAAAAACAACTTTTGTGAATTCTAACATAATTTCATATAAGCAAAGTTACTCTTACAGAAACAATTTAACCATGTTCCAAAGACTTCAATCCAAAATGTTATTTTTAATCCATATTCTTAATGTCTCGAAATAGATAATGTGTAATTTAATAAGTTATCCTATATTTAGACCCATTCCCATTTATTATGATAAATGCATATATTGCTTGTTTTTAACTATCATATTATTAATCATCATCACTATCATCACTGTCATTCTTTGACTTCTTGAAACCGAAAATTGTTTTTTTCTGTGGTAGTTCATCTTCTGGTACCGTTATGACCCCTGAAATCACAAAAATGATAAAAGTTAATCCTACAAAAATGATTCTAACCCCGAAAGCAACAGTTTGAGTTTATGCCCTCTATCTAAAAAATGCATTAGGACAATGACCCTGTTAGGACAACTGTACTACTTGCTAAAGCTATTTGTTAAGGCTAGCTCAATTTTCGTCAAGGTGGCTGAGATGTAAATAAGGTTAGGGCACGTGATTGTTGGCGAGATTGTAGGTTAGGGTAACTCCGGTAACTATTGGGGCTAGGTCCAGGGTTAGGGTAACCCCGGTAACCATTGGGGCTAGGTCCAGGGTTGGGGTTGGTATAAGCACTAGCCCAGTTTACATCTCGTGACCTTTGACCAAACTTGAAATGTACCTTATCAAATAGATCTAACCCTGTACTACTAGCAATCCATTTAGTCACAGTTTTCAAGACAATGATACCAGTTTTTCAAAGATAAGTTGGTGGATAACAGTGCTTATGTTAACATGGACAGTGGTTAAAAGCACAGTAGGATTTCAAAATGCCTACTCTTAGCTATAAAAGGCAACTGTTATCTTTTTATTAGGTGTTTAAAGATACTTTCCCGCATAGAAACTGTGTGATTTGATGATATATTTGGACTAAAAACATATTCAAACTAATTAATCTATCAAAAATTTGCTTCAAATCCCTCTCAAAACTTTGTATTCCTCGCAGTATACTGCAAGCTATCAATAAACTGTTGTTAGATGCCATGTTTGTCATCTAACTTCAAAGTCAAACATGTCTTCAAACATTTGCTAAGAGTTACAACTCATTAAGTAATTATCAGATAATCATTAGAATTTGTTTGGCCCATGCTAACTTAATATCTTGGATTTAGCTGTTCAAGTTATCAAATATCATTGAAAATCAATATACTTGTTCGCCTCGAGACCTTAAACTCTATGTATCAATCTAAAGTCAATCGAAATGATTTATATAGGCGTAAACATGGTGTATAAATATAAAATCAATCAGATGATAACTATGGTCTGGAAAGCATCCACAAGATTTTTTAGTGTGATCAAGGGTCATAACTCTGGCAATATCATGAGTAAATAGGTTCTAGAAACTGACAATAATCTTGTTTACTAAAGTTGATATTTCTTACATAGGCAGATTAAAAAGAAAATAATTACCTGAATGTCCTAATCTCATTTCTAAAACTTGAGTACTGAAATTATCAGATGTTCCTAATTCTTCAAAACCAACGATTCTGAAACAGGAATAAAAACATTTTGAAATATAAACACAGACATTTTTTAGGCTGGCTGAAGAGTGATCAGTTGTTCAATTGAACTGTAGCGCTATCATGTAGCTCAATGCAAAGGGATAGATTTATATGAGAGATTCTTAGTAATATATCTTTCCTTCTTTTCTGAAACATTAGAAGAAAGGGTTACTCCTAATGCCTCATTATAATACTATTATTTCAAAACGAAAACACGTTAGCCAAAACTAGCAAAGTGGTTCATCTGCCAGCGTACAATTCGAAACTATAATTTTGTCATTCAAATGATAGAAGATATATTCTTATATGGTGATAGACAATGATAAACATGTAACATCCTGTTTACTAATGAAAATGCTTTTTGATTGACCAATCACCCTCATTGTTACAAATAACATAAAACATCTCAACTTGAGTGAATGTAAATTAAAAGGCCAGACATGAGTGCTTGTAATGTGCAGATCTGTCAAATATAAAATTGAACAATGGACACTTATGTTCCTACTCCTAATCATCCTTTATTGAATGTTTGTTGTTTTATCCAGAAACTGTTCTAGACGAATAGATGGTGATGAAATTACCCTAAAATTATTCAAAGAAAAGATTCACAGAAAAAGTTCTGGATGATACATGCATGTAGCTATTTGTCAGACATTCATTTGTTTTTATCAGTTTTTTTTTCAACTTACCTATCACATACTATTCCTTTACGGAAACAATAAACTGCTGGTAAAACCTGGACTTTTAATCTCTCCACCAAAAACTTTGCTGTTTCAACATTTATTTTGGCAAATTTAGTTTCAAAGTACTTTTGACTAAGTTTCTAAATAAAAAATCATAGTTAGATAAAAAAATAATAAAGGTTTGGGAAGTTTAACTCCAAAATTCCAACTATAATTTTATTGGCTGTTCTATGAATTCAACTCTAAGTACATAAAGAAATCAAGCCTCTGGGTTAAGCCTCTGGGTTTTAAAATTTTTCTTGAGGTTCATAAAGTTGAATTATACATTTTGAAATTCTTGTTTACTGAATGTCTGAAATACTGTAAATGGTCGACACCATCAATTAAAAAATAGCTTATAATTTTATGCATTTAATAAAATTATGTCAATATTACCTCTAAATGGGTGTCCATAATGGCACATCTTCTAAAATCACTGTGATAAAAATGCACTACACATTTATCTACCCCTGTTGTAAGGTCAAGAAATTCTCTGTCACTCTTTAAATCTCTGAAATATTGTGGAAGAAATAAGTTTAAAATGACATAGGTAATTGATTTGGCAATTATACAATGGCATATTCAGATATACATGAGTATGTGTTCTGTTGTAGATACTGCAAGTAAGCCGAAAACGAAATTAAGATTAATCAACAATCTGACATATTACTTCATTAACCATTAATGCTACACAAACAATGGTGACATGGTGGGCAGTTATCTTCCCTTTGAAATGAAATTAAATGGGGTTTACCGGTAATTTTTTACTTTTCTGCCTCGACGGGGCTAATGTAATGTAAGTCGTTTCAAAATTTTTTGAACTGGTTAATTGGTCGTTAAAAACCCAACTGCAACCGATTTATTCACATTTATTGTTGTACCACAGAAAAACTTGGTGATACATGATTTATCACAAATGACAAGTAATTTCTGGAACGGGTTTACCAATTGCAACCGAACTGTGACCGGTTAACAGGAATAACCGAGTAGCTGTTTACATACTTACTACAGCCTACCACCTTAATTTTAAATTCCAACTGTCAAGGGTTCATTTCATTAAGTGCATGCCAGATGGGACCTCAGTCTTTCGACGCACCCAAATGACTAGACACTTCCTTGCCAGGCCTTTCATTCTGTACTAGCTGACAAGGGCCTTTCTTTTGAACTGGCTCCTACATCTACTAAGAAGTAGGCTTTGGGACAAAATAAACATTTTACCATTGGTACACGGATTGTGTACCAGAATGCACTTCAGCACCATTTGTAACAAGGGACTCAAAGAATGAGCCTAGACATATTCCACAAGTCATGTTAATCTGTGACCTCATATTCTTATCTGGAGAGCATGTGCAATAAATACCTGTGTAGACTGGAATAACCAGACCAGAGATCGCCATTTGACTAAGACTTCTCGCGTATTTCGTCGAACATAACTGATTTGAAATTAGAGTAAAAATGGAAACAACTGAATCTAAATCAGTTTATAATACATTCATTATTATACTTGTTGCAACCCATTTGTGTCCATTTCTAGCTGTCAAATATTAGCGATTTAGCTCTTTTAAATATGGTTTAACTTACGTGTATATTCCATGTTGTTTGTCTCTCATCTGAACATAATCTCTGGCTTGTTGTTTTAAGTTTTCCAATCGTGATTCACGGAGATGTCCTGGAAGTTCTTCATTTTCTAATTCTTCCCATAATTTCTGTTTTTAAAAAAAAAGTAAGAAACAAATAATGCGGAATTCAACAATGCAATTAAGATATAAGGTGTCTTAGAGGGGCTAACAATTAATGTCACTTGGATATGGATTCCTTGACATATATGAAATTTCTCAGACGAAAACTGACAAATAAAGTGACTTGGTTTCAAAGCCTTATAATTCTGATTATCTCTTGACTTTTAATGTTTGAAGAAATATACATATAATTAGCTTGTTGATAAATTGTGCTGAAAAGTAATGTATTATGAATATTCTGCTCAAGAAATATTGAATTGTCAGGCCACAATTCGTTATCATTTGATCATTTTAACACTGGTTACAGGTGGGTTTTTCCAACATGTAGGGAAAAATGAATATCATTATTTTGAGACAGAATTGATAGTTTTTGAATCGCAAAATTTTTGTAAGATTATTACAAATGATCATTTTTGGTGAACAAAGAAGAACAGTTTTAGAAGAGAGGTAGGAGTAGAGGTGGAGCAGTTTGTACATTTAGAGAACGTTCTAAAGGAACTATTCTAGATTTAGATAAAAAAAACTTACCACTCGTTATTAATTTTAAATTAAAACGTGATGATGTGTATAATTATTAGGCTACTATGTAGTATGTGTATCGAAACGTAGCATGTTAATAAATTCAGAAGTAGTATATCCATGTAAGTGTTTTTAATTTGTGAAATCTACCTCTTTATGTCTTATAAGGATTACACACATGTACCGGTAATGCAATTTGAAAATTTGGATAAAATATCATAAATTAGTAATGGGTAGACTGTGTGTGTGTGTATTTTGTGAAAAATAATAATAATAGTTTGGAATCTTTAGACATGGCAATGGCCTTAAGATGTAACTTACATTAAAGATGCCTCACCGCATACAAATTGGGTGATTTGATTACATATTTGGACTAAAGTCATATACAAACTAATTAATCTATCTGAAAATTGATTCAATACCGCCTAACCATTTGATCAAGAAATAACAACCGCTCCCTAAGTCAAGCTGGCGGAAAATAAACCATCTCCATCGGGTTGCCAGTTAGTGATACCGACATCTTTGCCTAGTGCTTGCCTCATCGGTGTGTTTTCGGGGAATCCGGTATTTTTCGAGAATAATTGGGCATCTCTCTACTTTCCAGTTATTTATTTAATTTATACCAAACTTATACCATACATTTATTGGAAATAACTATGCTATAAATACTTTTGTGGAAATGTATCTTTAATAAAGAAATTAAGTTTGCCAGGTGAAACTAAAGGCATCAAATCCAAGCTGAAAACAAACACATCACTCCTCGACTGTGCAATGTGAATGTCAATATTTATGAATATAATCCCATTGAATGGCCATTCCCAACACTGTTTAGATACTTACTGTCTGAGTCTTGGTAAATTTTAAACGGATTTCTTCGATTATGAACAAACTACTTAACTTTGGTTATTATAAACTTACCTGTGTGTTTGTAATGAACTCCCATTCGATAAAATCCATTGCACAACTAATTATCACAACGATGAAAACAAGTTCTCTCTTGAAAAATTAAAATATCACAAACTTTTCCCAGAAAAAAATACCAATATGGAAGATGGTTACGTCACTCTGCGGAAGATATCATTTCGTATTAGGGGTGACAGCATAGGTCGAAATTCAAGTACAATTACGACAAGAATCCATGACCACTCGGACCAAAGACCACTCGGTTCAAGACCAGTCGGACCAACTGATAGACCACTCAGCCCAAACAAATAGACTACTCGGACCATACAAAAAGACTATTCGGACCCAACAGAAAGTCGACTCGGACCAATAATAAAGTGTTGTTTTAATAAATTGATAATTGTGTTTGTTTTAATATGATTACTCGAACCAATAATAAAGTGTTATTTTAATAAATTGATAATTGTGTTTATTTTAATATGACTACTCGAACCAATAATAAAGTGTTATTTGAATAAATTGCTAATTGTGTGTGTTTTAATATGACTACTCGAACTAATAATAACGTGTTGTTTGAATAAATTGATAATTGTATTCCAAATCGCAAAATATCGAGAACCACACTTGTAGTCACGTTTAAAAAGGGGCATATAAACGTCCGGTCTTCGTATTATTATGTGCTGTTTATATTAACGCATCAAGGGCGGATAACTTGAAAACGTGTCTCCCCCCCCCCCATATATAGTAACCCAGGGGTTAGTGGGGTAGAAGGGAATGAAACCACTGGGGATACCGCGAATGTGGAAAAAGTAAAATTAGGCTATCAGACAAGAACAGTATACCCGTATATGTAGAAACTGTCAAAAGTCTGGACATACCGAGTCTCATTGCAAGAGTAAAGAAAAATAAGATTGATATTTTTTTTGGCACCATTATTAATTAATTTTAAAACCAATCGTTGATTTATTTTCCGTACACAAAATTGAACCAAACAACTCTAAATATACGAATTCCGTATAAGAATTATTTGCTTCTTTGTATTGTGATTTAATAATAAATAAATAGCATATTGCCTAGCCTTATAATATAATTTAATTGGTCCGACTGGTCTTGTTTTGGTCCGACTGGTCTTAGTCCGAGTAGTCTTTGGTCCGACTGGTCTGGATACCTACGACAATTGGCATTGAGTTTGAGCGTTCGCACACATAACTACCCGCATTCCTGTATTTAGTTACCGTCTTTTACATTCTAGTAAAATCTCTGCAAATTTTATAGCTTTACTTTTTGAAATATTTTGTTCTAATTATTTGATTAGCGACTCGGATGGGATTATTTACTTTTGAACACGCATGCCGCTCAAACACAACTATACATTCGTTTTACGGGCTTTATCACACTTCGGTCAAAACTGTCGAATCGAGAATTAATGTTCCGCTTCTTACGGGGTCATACGGGCTTAGTAGCATTATATACCCACCCGGGCACCTAATAGACACGCTGAGGGCTGCCGCAACACGCTTAAAGATGTTACTGAAGCGGTTATTATTCGATCGAAAGAATGCGTATAAAATTAAAAATACACTCAGAGAATTCGGAGGTAAGCTTCATGATCCTTGTTAAATTATTTATAACATAAAGAAGATAGGATATTTATAGTTTATACATGACTTTATTTTTACGAGTATCCGTGCAATCAGTGATATTTTAATTGTGAAGAAAATTTGATAGACTGGCGATCAATGGTTTCCATATAAATCTCCTATGTAATTGCCTTCAATTGATATTTTTCGTCGCCCAAACCCATATACGATCAAAATGATCGCGCTGTCAAACTATCTTTCAATGTTAACCAACCCCCGCAACAGGTATATTGGATTCGACCAATACGTCACGAAGACATTGTTGACATCGACTCGGTCGAAATTACAAGTAAATTTTCAAATTTTTCAAGAGAGAACTTGTTCTCATCGTTGTGATAATTAGTTGTGCAATGGATTTTATCGAACGGGAGTTCATTACAAACACACAGGTAAGTTTATAATAACCAAAGTTAAGTAGTTTGTTCATAATCGAAGAAATCCGTTTAAAATTTACGATGGTTCACACAGTAGTTCTCGTCGCTATTTCACACAAGTCTCCTCGGCGCTTGATTTTCTACTAATTTCGCTATAATTACAGGACAACATAGTTGTATATAATAAAAAACAACATTTACTTACATCTTCAACCAAAGATTGGTCGTCTAAAATTTCATTAGCTTCGATAACAGTTGTTTGAGCAGCCATGTCTAAACAAAACACGCACCTGGTAATGGGCAGATAACTCTACGTCAATTTCTGTACTCTTCGTTTACCAGACTGAATAAAATATTTAACGGTGAATGACAATAGCGTTGTCTGTACAGTATCCAAGGCAGCATTGTTATTAAACAAATTAATTAATCATCATCAAACAAATCAGGGCGTATTAATCTGATTAATGGCATTAATGCGTCTCTAAACAACGTTTCCAAAGTCTTTAGATTTGATCTTATTTATAACAAACCTATCTTATCTTAATTAACACTCGTTATTAATTTTAAATTAAAACGTGATGATGTGTATAATTATTGCTATGTAGTCGGAGTAGTCGTAGAATGTATTCCAATTGCATGATTGCAATGAGCAAAACCAAAACATAGAAAAGTAGGCCTACCGAAACAGCACACGCAATCCATAAAGTAAATTATGTCTTGACAATTAGGGCTTATTAAATTGTATACGTCACAGCAAAGTTTTAGGAATAATATTTATACGCCAAAATTAAAACTATATAATATACATGCGGCATATCTAATTCAATTGTCTAGCAATGTTTGATTTTGAAAGCTAATATTCGCCCAAAAGTTAAAAGCTGTGCTTGGTGGTATATAATTACGTAATAGTAATGACCTATTTTGCAACGCGGTAGTTGACGTCAGAAGGGATTGGGTCAACCCATCGTCTGCTTCTGAAAGTCCGAATCACATTCACAAGAACGAGGGAAGAAAGAGACACGTTATTTTGCTGTACGATGCCCAAACAGGGTAAAAAGTCCGCTGAACGGATAGAGAACGAAGTACAGCAGAAAGCTGTGGAAGATTTAAGCAGAGAATCACCCGAACCAGAAAGCCCCGACAGTAGCCCAATAGGCCTACACGAGAGAGGTAGGCTAAGCCTAAGCCGCTAGTAAGCCTAAATTTAAGTAGGCTACTAGAAGCCTTACTTAGGCCTAACCTAAGCCTAGATTACTTTTTAGCGTTGACTTAGAAAAAAAAGAAAAGATATAGGCTAGATCTATTCTATAGCCTAGTCATTATATATAGATGCTATATACCCATTTAATTTGTTCTTGCATCTTTTTTAAGGAACTTATAAGTTATCTCCTGGCTAGGCCTAACTTAGTAATTACTTAATTAATTAGTAATATAATTAGAAGTCTAGGCTAGTAGTAGTACCGGTAATAAATTAAATAATTTATATTAATTATGACGAAAGGTCTCCTCCCGCTTAGCCTCTAATTTTATGATATTTTTTTTGTTCGTTCGTTTGTTACGTGATGGTTTAACTAACTAGGGCCTATTGACGCCCGCTTCTATTGACGCCCGGGTGCTATTCTAATTTCTATTGCAGACAGCTGGTGTTTCCTACAAATCCCGGCAAACGGTGCGCGTGGACGGATATGGCCGGGGTAGGCTTAATAAGTAATAATGGCAATGATCTACAATGGCTACATACATTTTGATTTTGAAAATTTGAAGTAGGCCTATAGTCATGCTATGGTCACATTAACTCATTTAAAAGTCATTCGGAAGATTTCAAAAGTAATGAAAACGTAATTAATATACTTTAAGTACATTCCAAAAAGCGTGTTTTATTTCAGTTACTTTCCAATTACAACAAAGAAGATAATACCGTACCGCACCGGTATAGGCTATGTAGGCTACTGTTTAAAAATTAAAAAAAAAAAAAACAGTCTACATAGAAAATATAACTTCTTCTTCAGACATAGCTCTCCACATAGTCTGACGTAGAAATGAAATGAAATGAAATGGAGTTTAACGTCCTCCTGTACTGCTCCTAACCTGGGCTAAAGAAGACGGCATACGCCATACAGTGTGCTATGAGGGAAATTTTGCCCGGACAGCGGCACTACGGCCTACTCTTATATCGAATTCCAACTGCCAAGGGATCTTTTACGTGCACGCCAATGTGTACACGGGACCTCGGTTTTTCGTCCCATCCGAAGTCTGACGTAGATTGTAATACATAATTCTATGCATGGTTACTAATAAATATATTATTGTATATGTTTTAGTAGTTTTACAGTCATGCTGAAAAATTTCCCAATTTCCTTTTGCATTGATTTAATTCATGTCATACCCAAAAAAAAAAAACAAAAAAAAATGAGCTCACGCGATTTCGTTGATGCTCCATGGCAGAAAAATAAGGTTGTCTTTTTTAATGTCAAAGTAATGGGTAATGGTAATTAATTACTTTTAATGTACCGGTAATGGATAATTATGGTAATTAATTACATACGGTAGCTAAAAATGAGAAAGTTAGCTTATTTGTAATGATTACAGTAAGTATATTTCAAAAGTAATGTTAATGTAGCCTAATTGATTACATTTATTGGCAATGTAATGGCCCCAGCCTAGGAAACGGGAGGACGTGGAAGAAAAATCGTCGTACGCATCTCCTTGAGACGCATGCCATCGAACTTTATCTCTGTGCAACTGCATCCATTGCATTTTGGGGAAATTAGCAAATTTTCTACTTACCTTTGGGCTAATCCACTCTAGTCTAAATTAGATGGACGTAGATTGATTATTTAACATTTAATTACGAAAACACAAAAAAATATCAACGGTAGTGGTAAATAATCTCCCGGCTTGGATTCAATCGGATTAAAAGGGATTCGGTATGAAAAGATTCAGCGGAATTCAATGGTGGTGCTAGAGCTTCCTTGGGGCCGGACGTTGCATGAAAATGTTCTTGAGAAATCCATATATCTTTGTAAATACTGAATGGAAATGGACCTTATTTGGGCTGATAGATTGTAGATTGGGATTGACAATCCCACAACCAAGCGACTTCCAGAAAATATAATTACTAGAGTAGAAGATGAAGACAGTAATTGTCAACCAAGTTCAAACTCAAACATATTTTGTTGAATGTAAAGGTCTAAACGTACTTATAAAGATATAGAATATAAAAATGTGTAAAGATCTTGAAAGGGGAACTGAATATATAATATAAAGCAAGGCTGACACTTGCACGATTCCGTGGCACGCATTGGCACGACTCGAGTCGTGCCAGTGCGCAAACTAGTCGTAAACTGGCGTGAAGTGTTCGTAAACCCGTCGTGACTGCGTGCCATGTCGGGACGAGAATTTTGAAACGTTCAAAATTTTGGTCACGACAAAATTTAGCGACCGGGTCGTGAACTATGCGCAAACTGTTCGTGAACTCGTCGGGACGATGCGGGAGGGTGCGTGACAGTGCGCGCCATGCCACGACTGTCTCTTCCCTGCAATGATTGTGTTTCTGACATTCAGCATGTTGTCTCTTCCACAGCCAATGACCAGGGGTTGGGGAGGCCTCCTTTTTATATGGCGTGCCCAAGTCGGCACGACACCGTCCAGATTGCGCAAACTCGTCGTGCCAATGCGGGAAGTGCGTAAACAATGCGCAAACTATGCGTGAATTCGTCGTGCCAGTTCGTGTCAAAATGTGGACACTGATGGGCACGCATTCGTGAACTCGTCGTGAACTATGCGTGAACTAGTCGTGAACAGTGCGGGAGTCTCCCAGTTTGTGCCCCAAAATGGCACGACTTGCCACGACAAAATAGTGGCCAAAAGTCGTGCAAGTGTCAGCCTGGCTTAAGCTTAAGCTTAACCTTGTTGATTTCAGATGGAGAAACACCGATTGTTGCCAGAGGAGGTGGTAAGAAAAGACCTTTACCAGACGAAGAAGGACATTCTGGAGACTTTGGGTAAATTTTATAAAAATTTCGATTAGGAGAATATCACCTTCTAGTCCCTAGCAATCTAGTCTTGCAAATTCCCATCAACTTATTCAGTCTACGATTTATTAGCTGTTGTATGCACAGACAACGTATGTTATGAACTCGAAAGCAGAATAATAATTGCCTAATCGATCGAAATATAATAATGAATTCAAGAAATTTCAAATAGAGCTGAAAGACAATAAGCGTCTCTAACCAGACTTTAGTAATGAGTCTTATATTATATAGCTTTTTTTTTGCTTTTTTTTTCAGATCAGAAATGCAAAAAATGTTGGAATGCTTTGGAGGTGATATTATTTAATTATTTCTAGGATTAGTTTTGGTAACTCTAAGGCCCATATTTTCGAACAGTGTCTAAAATAATCTGTGATTAGGTCTAATCAGTATCAAGCTAGTGTCCACCTAGAAGCTATTTACAAGTTATAAATACAAATGCTAAAATTTGAATACATCATCTAATTCCAATTTGAGAACTGGATCAGGATAAAGGTTTCCAACACGAGACTTTCACACACAATTGGTCATTTCTGTTCACAATTATTAAAGAAACGTTTGTGCTGATAACTTTCTCAATTTTTAGCTGATATCAGCAAGACACTAATTTCTAAGAGAAAACGATTGGAGCAATTAACACATAACACTCTGAGAAGCAGTAATAAAAAAGTTGAAGATATATGGAAAGCTCAACAAACCGAAAGGTAACCATTTCTAAATAATTAGAACCCACAGTTTGATGAAATGAAATGGGTGTTTAACGTCTTACTTTTCTTCACCGACTGGACCAAGAAAGACGAGCATACGCCATGCAAGGTGCTACGGCTTACTCTTATTTCGAATTCGTACTGACAAAGGTTCTATACATACTCCTGAGGATTCTATTACGTGCACGCCAATGTGTACACGGGACCTTGTTTTTTCATCTCATCCAAAAGACTATATGTTTTCCCCTGCCAGACCCGCAGTCCTTGACCACTGACAAGGGGAAACCACGCCGCAAAATCACAATGGACTTTCTCGGCAAACACCGATAAGGAGGGGCATGGTGGAGATCATGAAAACTTGGGTCTGTCACTAGAATTGAAGACATTGTTACGAAACACCACCCTTCCCACTACTGCACACGAAAACTTTTAAAAAATACCCATTTTAAAAGCTATGCATGGAAATTAAAAAATCAACTACTTTTACTTTTTTAGTCTGTGTATGTGTACTGACTTTGACCAATCTTAATATATATATGAAGGAAATGTTTAATTTAACGCTTTGCAACTTGGATGTTAGTTATGCTTATTTACACATTTCAGAGTAAAGTTACAAGAGGAATATTATAAACAAATTGGGACCGTGTTTTCACAGTGGGAAGTGGATATTGATAAAACAAGAGACCAAGAAGAAAAACTAACGGTAGAACTAAATATTTCATAAAATAGTGTGATGCTTTAATCGGCAATATCGCTTTCACCAAGAAAGTCATTTCAATTAAATATGCTTAACTCACCTCATTACATTTACAGTAAAACTAGGCACTGCCTTTACCGAGGTTGGGTTATTTTTCATGACCGTTATACTTCTCGAAAATTCCTAAACGTGTATATGTAGATAGATTTATCTGAAGTTTTGTACACAATCATATTTAAACATGTGTATGCAATTAGTATAGTCAATCAAGTAGAATAAAAAAACAAAAACAATAGAAGGAGACACCAAAGCGCCCATGCTACTACATTTGATTTTAGAGGTCGTTAAATAAAACAGAATATTTATTGACTCTATGGTAAAATGCGAGATCAAGAAGATATTCTGTCCTTTTTAGTCTGGATTCATATATGAAACAGGAAATGCTCACTGGCCCGCGGGTGCACTAGTCCGCGGGTTCACTAGTCCGCAGGTGCACTAGTCCGTCGCTATAAAAAATTATGAGTATTAAAAAAAACCAGCAGGTATGGTGGCTGATTGGGATAATGTCGTGATGTCGCCCTTCATAAGGCAACAACCCGACATCACGACATTTTAACCCGACACCACGAGATTTCACCCGACACCACGACATTTAAAATGTTGTGATGTCGGGTTAAAATGTGGTGATGTCTGCCATCTTCCTCTCAATATATAGTATGATCAAGAAAATTCCCCGGTATTTTGCAGCGTGGTTTCTCCCTGTCGGTAGTGCACAGCGAACGTTCTGGCAAAGGATAGTGTCTTATTGTACACATTGGCGTGCACATAAAAGAACCCTTTACATTTTGAATTCGATGAAGAAATGCCATTGTCCATAGAAAATTTCCGTCATAGCACCCTGCGTAGCGTATGCCTGTCTTCAATAGTCCGATTGGCTGCACTACCGAAAAGGGAAAACCACGCTGCAAGATCCTGGGTTGTCGCCTTATGATACCCATATTTATAGTATTTTTTATAGCGGCTGACTAGTGCGCCCGTAGACTAGTGCACTCGCGGATTAGGGCACCCGCGAACTAGTGAACCCCTCTCTATGAAACCACAGAACCGACAAAAACGACCCTTTGTTAATGTGCATATTATGCTCCTATATTATGATTTTAGGTTTTATTTAAACAACAACAAAAGTTATTTCAACAAGCACGAATTGTACAGGGACAGAGATTGAAGACAATTAGACAGCTACAGGAACAATTTTCTAAGGTATACACATAGGCATAGAATGTTCTCCAATCCAAATTCAGATTGACTGAATAATAATATTGTTTATTTAAAAAAATGTAGCATTAGCTTAAACTGTTATTATGCAAGAGCTAAATCTGCCTATTGAAGTTCTTTGTTTAGGCCTTAAATGTTAAATAAATTATTAATTAGACACTAATTAACTTACCAAGACCATAATCAACTCTCGATACCATCGGATGCTGGAGATTTTCAACAAATTTAAATAAATTGACAGTTAATGATTTAATTTAAAAATAGATAACTTAGACTTTGTTTATTATCTTAACAACGGTAGCAAAGACAATCGAGGCTACCCTGTTCTTCTAACGGCGATTTCGAAATTTTCAACATATTCCCTTTTCATTCCATTTTTACAACTACATGTATTATAGCCAGAACTGACAGCTCTTTATCTAATCGTACATAATGCCCTATTAATGGGACTAAGCCAAACGTATTGTGTTGATGTGTTATTTGTTTCGAAAATCGGCTTGTTTGCTAAGTTTGTTCATCATGCTATATAATTTAATTTCAGAATATTCGATTGTACATTTCATAGAAATATGACAACTTATGTCTCCAGGGCTATGGTATATAATATTACCCACAGGTTTATTTTCTCGATTGTTACTTTTAATCTTTAGAATCCTTTTTTTTCAGGGAATGGATGAATTAGACAAATGCCACCTTACTCAACAATCCTCCGTTCAGTCGGAACTCAAGAAAGAAATGGGTCTTCTTCAAAAGAAAATTCTCATGGATACTGTAAGCTCACAATTATTTCTTAAGGCGTTTGTAGAAACTAATTGTTTTTTCAACGTGAAAAGTATATTTAAAAAGTAACATTAAATTGATGCTAAAGTCTATTACGTTCGTGTGTAAGAAAAAATATTAAATTCAGGGATAAATGAGTTAACTGAAACCGATTCTCTATCTGTAGATTATATAGAAAGATGGGACCAAAGTCTACCGACGCTACATTCCGTCAGTTCTCACTAGGGAGACGTTTATTAAAAAACTGTTGACTCGATTGCCTAACTAGTTAGCATTGAGACTGCTGGGCGAATTATGTCGTCGCCCTTGTCCATGGATCAACAATTGTTTGTTTTTTTTAACGCGATAGGGGGTTATACAGTTATTAACAGATTCTTTTTAAATTTGTTGCGCAGCCTTAATGTATTAATATCCGGAGTTTAAATTAAAATGTTCGCAAACAAATGACTTTTAGGTCTGGCGGGACCGACAGGAAAAAAACAAACACCGGATGAGTTACTTGACTAGATTCTCATTGTTTTGCCTTTTGAAATCTTATTCTATGTTCACTGACAAAGGAAATTTGAGATTGACTTTGTGCAGCTAACAATCTTTTGTGTACAATTGTATTTTAAGATCTTAGTAAAGTTATTGCATTCGTTTTTCAGCAACAACAAGAAATGGCTAATGTAAGAAAGTCTCTTCAGACTATGCTTTTCTAAACTGAAAAGCATTACAAGGAATGCCAATAGAAGGAAAAAACATCACAATCTCGAGTACCTATATATACGACATTTTTGTCAGTTGTATTATAAGAGGAACCGTACGTCACGCCAGCGTTTATTAGAGGCATGATACGTTGTATAACAAAATCTTTCAACTGTTCGAACAAACTGGAGGCATGACATATTTTATCTTCTCCAATATCCGTAACCCGACACATCTTATGGAAGAGCTAGTGTATAAAACTAGAAGCCAAATGGGTTTGTTGATGTGTTTTCTTTACACATGTGGTAGTATATTGTCCTCTCCATTGTCAGTCCGTCGGGTCGTTCGTATATACCTGCTTGTACCATGGACCTTATAATGTATTATAATGTATTATAAGGTCCATGAATGTACTCACTCCGCAGAGTTAAGTAATTAATCAATGTTTATCAGATTTTCTGGAATAGTTTAAATTGTTTGGAATAAAGATGAAAGATGACAGGCGTAGTTCCATTCTTCGCCGATTTTCATGAATTGTCAGTGTTGAGTAATATGGTTCATTTTGATTTTAGCATTTTCACACAGGTAGTTATTGCAGAGTAATAGAACATATTTTAATAGTTGGTGTTTGGGTAAATCTGGTCTTTATCAATTTTGAGTGTTATTGCAAAGCAATTTCACGATTGTGATTGTTTATAAACATACATGGTAAATAACCATGAAATTGTTGTACTCACTCTACAGAGTGTCCTATTTTCAGCAGGAATGAATAGTATTGGGCCATAGATAATACCTTTCGATGACTTATGATTAAAGGATATTTACTAATGTACTTATTCCACATAGTTGAGTCCTTGACCCATTTTCATCAATCTTCAATCTCCAAACCTTCTGTTGGCTAAAAAAAACAGAAGGGTAAAATAAAATCACGAGAAAAATCTTATTACAGCGCGGAAGACAAAACTGCTGATTCGCGGGGTTTTATCTTGCTTTGTGAAATCTGCTTAACGTCAAATGCAATGTGACGAATTGTCTGCTTGTGGAATTTTCAAGCTATATTAACATAGTTTGTTGAAATATAAAAAAAATGTAAATATGAAATATATATTTATTATGAGTACAAATAATTGTAAACTTATTATTATGAAATGTGTATGTGTGTACTATTATAAAGTTGAATAAATTATTGTATGAAGAGACTTTTGTGTTTTTCTTGTTCCCCCCATCTTCTTTTCCCAGATCATCTCATTTCACATAATAATATTAGTCTGGTTTCAAGAATTTAGTCTCTAATCTGATCACAAAACTGTATTTCTAGGAAATGCCAAACTAGGGACAAAATGTATATTTAGAACAGTAATAGTAGAAAATTCCTGTTGATTTTTGTTGAATACTGAAAAGCTCTGTGGTTCTGAAACTTTGAACCCCTTTGTAGACATCACATAGAACAGTATGGTTCTCGGGTAGCGAATAATTACAGAAAAGCCAAAGGAATAATCCAAGGTAATATCGTATTGTCATATATATGATGTGGAAATTATTTATTCCTCAACGGTTTTGAAGTTTAGTGTATCTGAACAATATTTACATATTCTGCTGTGTATTTTTTACGCCCGCATTTTCATGTTAACATATATTGTAGCCAACCTTGTCCATGCGGACGTCTGTCCACATTTTGTTTATGGACTCTCTGAAATCACATTTTTTATCCGATTTTAACGAAATTTGAAATATAGGTTTATATCCCAAAGATTTCGCTATTGACATATATCGGATGATAACATCGTGAATTATGGCCATGGATGGTAAGAAAATTACGACTTTAGCTTGTAAAACTTGGACCGAAACTGGCCGCTCCTCGTCCCCAAATAGTGTAAATGTCCATAATTTTTATCCGATTTTGATGAAACTTAAACTATATGTTTGTATCTCAAGGATCTCGGTTATTTTCGATCCTGACAAGTAAAGGTTAGCAAGTTCCTGGATTATAGAAATGGTTCCAATACTGATGTCTTCCGTCCTGCTCCAGCCACAGAAGTGAGTCGTTCTAAGGACTTTCTTTGAGCAAGTTTTGTCATAAAAAAAAGTTACTGGCCAATAACTCCCTTAAAGGCTCAATAGCACTCTTGTTGTAACTGAATAATATGCCCCAATCTTTATTCTGGCCAACAAATTGTACTATTTTACAATATTCCAATTAATTGATGATAAAAGTTTCATCTTAACACACCTAATTAAAAAATTGGAAAAATTCAACTAAATGATTTGAAAAGCCTGACGTAAAGCTTTTATAAATATTTTTGAACCCTCTGGACAAGTAAAATAGGATTTAATGGATAATTTACACAACAGGTAAGACACTAACACATCTAGTACTTAAAATAAGGCTATTATTTTATTTTCTGGAGCTGTCAAGCCAGCAAGAGTGTTATTGTCCCTTTAATTTCCAATTACACTGACCCCAAACTGTACTGCACATAGCTTAACATTATAATAAACCAATTCCCTTTGAAATAAAGCTGAAATCTTAAAACTCATAAATTTAATATAATCCAACGGTTACGCGATATTTCTGTTGTTTTTAAAATGTCCGCCGAACCAGAATTAATTATATCACAAAATAATAATAGGCCTAGTCGGCATTCATCCATCTAATCCGGGTGTAATGATGGACTCGATTGGAGGAAGTTTTTGGATCAAGCCAATGCTGAAAAACGCGTACACGCATTTGTTCCATCTATTTTAGATTACTGCAATAACCTATACTACGGCAGTTATCAGTACCAGAGCCTTATATATCTATATATAAGGCTCTGATCAGTACCAATTCAAAAAGCTTGAACGCATTCAGAATGCGGCTGCGCGTTTAGGAGTAAGAACATGGCTTCCATGTAACTCATACATAATGCCACTCCTACAGAAACTCCACCGGTTGCCAGTTGAAGCTCGAAGAATTCAAAGTTTTGTGAGACCGCTCCAGTCTGTCTTCTAGAACTTATCAATATTGATCAACCCGTTTGGAATTTCGAAGTGGTGATGGCACGAAACTTACCTACCCAACTGTCCGTCCTCAACCGTCGCGAGCTTATGGTGATTATTCTTTTAGTGTATTCGCACCTAAACCATGGAACACCATACCATCTTCATTGCGAATAATTGACAATTTGATATCTACCAGTCTCTATTCTCAATTGCAATGATCCACATCTTAACATAGACAGTACTTTCCTAGGCACTCTATTTCTTATTTTACATATATAATTTTCAGTGCATATTTCGGGTTTATAAATTTTATATGACCTTAGTTTATTTCCAGTTGCTTTATTCTTGCCATTCCACAAATTAGAGTCCAGGTGTTCTTCGCTCTATTCCAGAATGAACATCATGGATTAGTTATATCACAAATATCTTAATTTTTGTTTTTAGCTATAGCCTAATCCAACGATGATTTCCGCTTTATTTATGGACAAGTTTATTGATTCTATTCCACAATATAAAAAATTATATTTTAATTATGTCGTCTCTATATTACTTTTTGTTTTACTTAATCCAATACAAGCAAAAGATGCCTTTTTGACAATATCGCGGTTCTAATTCAAGAAATATACATGATCCACAGAATTTCGTCCTTTGCGAAAACCAGTTTGTTCTTCTGGTAAAAATTCATTAGGCCTATCTCTAGCCAAGTAGAAAATCTGCTTTCAGAATATATTAAAATTTAAAGTTTTAAATCCTTGTAAGGCGATATTTGTATCATTTACATTGCTCGGGAGTTAGATCAAGGGAAGACGGGCCCCAAATGAAATTATCCCCAGTACCAACAATGAATAAAATAATAGAATAATATACATATACAAAAATATCAATAATTATTTTAATTCTGGGAAAACAACAAAATTGGTTTAGTATTTTTATTTTATTTTGAACTACATATCAGATTATCCGGCCCTGCGTGGTAGTGTATTAGGGTGAATTTCGAACAAATAGTTAATGTTTAATAAGTCGTGCTAATCCGCACAGTATTGATTCAATGAACTATACCATTTATATCTATTTCCGATTGCCTTAAACATTTCCGTTATCACGTGTCTCCAACATTCACTGTTTTACACTTCAAACTGATCTTATGAACTGTAATTAACGTCTACGGGTTATAACGTTTTAATTACCACGGTATTGTGTCTGTATAGACGGAATATATAGGATTAATGCCCTAGGTGATGCATGGTGATAAATGAATGAGCCGGGAAAAATCTTTCTGAAAAGCGTCATTAGGGTCGATCAGCTTAATACATTGCCTTTATTTGGAGACACACGTTTATGTCAATTCCCATATCCATTTGAAGCTTAGCCTATTATATACTATTAAGCATTGAACCAAGATTTGTTAACAGTAATCGCGTGCTGCACTGTATGTTGATGATTTTTAACCAAAGAATATAGTAATATTAACAATCAACAAGAGTCCTGTTTTAATTTATTCGTCACAAACATTAAAAAAATATACAAGAATTGCACATATACAGAAGAAACAACCGCCATTTTGTTTAGATTTCTACGTTTAGAAAATATGGCTTTTTCTCAGGCAAAACACAATCGTCAGTTATATTTTAAGTCTGGAATAAAGATTTGATCAGTGTAAAGAATGTTGACTTTTCTAATTTTATAGGCTTCCAATTTGTGTGGTTGTGTATTGGTATAGTTCCTGTCCACCCGTCGCACATGCACAGGTGACAATTTCAGGAAAAGTAGGTGTTCATACAGATGAATACCCCAACATACTAACCCATTGATTGTTCAAAATAGACTTTACCGTGACCTGACGACAGACAATTATGCCCCCAGTGAGTGTCCATGTAGACAAATATAACAGTCAGTAGGCGATATGAAATTGAATAGGCCATTTATTATTAATAAATGACAGGAAAATATATAATATATGTAATAACAATAATGTAACAAAAATAGACTAGAACACAAAAATACCACATTTGGAATGATTATCATGAATTTAAATACTGATTAGCTAAATACATATTTTGTTAATAAAGATGGGGTACAGTGAAGCGCCCTCTGATACATGAGAGTTAGCTCCCTTCTGTCAATCACCGTAAATACTATTTACCCCTTTGGATTACTTATGTATTTTAATGCGCGAACTGTATTCGAAATAACAAGACATACCGTGTGAATTAAAAAAGATAAATATAAGTAGTTAACAATAAATAAATATTTTTTCAAGGATTTATAGATAGGGAAATAGTATCATTAGCTAGAAAACTCATCCAATAGCGAACTGGGATAAATTTCTGTTT